GGTTCAGCATCACTCTGCCTGGGTGAATGTTTCAAGTCATTCCTCAGAAAGCTTCAGCATTTGGACTCTAAGACTTTCCAGGTTTTCCTAAATAAAGAACCCTTTCAAGAAAGGAAGCATGCCACACCCATAGGAGCAAAAGCAGCTGCCAGTAGCTGTGATTTTTGAAAGCCATGTTTTCTCTTCATCACACTACTAATAAAATAATAATGGATGCAAGTGGCCAAAGGTACAAACTTCCAGTTATAAGACAAAAATTTCTGGGGGTGTTATGTACAACATGTTGACTATAATTAAGAACAGCTCTTTATATATTTGAAAGTTGCTAAGAGTGTAGCAGGTCTTCCCTAATAGCTCAGCTGGTAAATAATCCACCTGCAATGCCAGAGACCCTGGTTCGACTCCTGGGTCGGGAAGCTCCTCTGGAGAAGGGATAGGCACACTCCAGTANTAATTTCATGGCTGCAGTCACCATCTGCAGTGATTTTGGAGCCCCAAAAAATAAAGTCTGGCACTGTTTCCACTGTCTCCCCATCTATTTCCCATGAAATGTAGCATATCTTAAAAGTTATCATCACAAGATAAAAAGAACAACTGTGAGGTGATGGATGTTAACTAAACTTACCGTGGTACTATTTTCTAATAAAGACATATCAAATCATCAGATTGCACAGATAAAATTAATACAGTGCTATATGTCAATTATATCTCAATAAAACTGGGAAAGGGGGGAAGTAACTGGTGCCTACAAATGTGCTTTGCAAACAGCACAACTTGTTCACATCTATTATTGTCACGATCCAGGGAACTATTACTTAAACTTTCTGTGTCTCTGTCTTCTCATCTGAGAAATTAGGAAAATAACAACAACTACCCCATAGGGTTATTGTGAGTATGAAATTATGCAACACAAATACAGCCATTAAAACAGTGCCTGGCATTGTAAAAATGCTAAATCAATGTGTTATCCTGATTATCTCTGTTTGACAGATAATGAGATGAAAGCTGCCTGCTGCTCTTGAATGCAGAGCGATAAGGCCATTTTTATCCCAGCCTGCCTGCTTCAAATTTCATCTTCTTCCTCCCTGGAATCAAGGGCGAGACCCAATATTAGGGACTAAACCCACACGTGCAGTTTCTTAGTTGGGGAATCTGAATGGGCATTCAACTAATTTTGAGAAATAAATTAGATATGATCATTTAAACAATTGGAAATTCGACAGACAACTCTAGACAGAGGACTTCTCTGTAAATATGTAGAAGTAGTCAGCCCACCTTTGGGGATGAAAACTGCCAGGAAAAGCTAAGTAATTGCTGCTTTTCTGGAATATGGCCTCCAGCTCTCCACAGTGAATCCACAGTGTCCACCACGCTTTGCTTTGTTACTTTACCAGCTTGGACCCTGCCAACACTGCATTCATGCTCCACACCCTTACCATGGCTGACCCAAGTATGCATCCCACACTTAACGTGAGTTAACTTCATAATTAGCACATCTTTCCTTTACAAGATGCAGTGGAAACTTCAAGAGACCCTATTGAGCCGACTCTGTGCTGCCACAATAACAAAATGCACCAAATTCCTTCTATACCAGAATCTTTAACAGCTGTTCCAGAATTGCCTTGCTCCTTGCCCTGGCCACCATCAAGTAAACCGAAATGAAGGACCCTCCACAATTGCTCAGGTCATTTCCTCTGATAGCTTGAAGGAGGTTCTGAAAGTTCTCTAAACATATCCACGACACAGGTTTGGACACAGCTAAGGAGTCTGTGGTCATACTCATGACAGGTCTGCTTAAGACATTTTCCAGAATGCATTTCCTCGCTGCAGCAGGATGCTAACCAGCCTCCCCACTGCCAATTCCCACAGCTTCAATTCATCCTGGATTCAACTGACAGAATAATCTGCCTCCAACATCGATCTTATTACAACCTCACCTGCCCAAGACCTTACAGAGACTCCCTAGTGCTGTCTGCATCCAACACCCCCTTTCCAGTCTAGCATTCAAGACCCTCGTCAATTATGCTGTCCTGGATGGAACACGGCCAACCTTATCTCACAGTTCTCCTTGCCATGTCCCCTCTGCTCCAGATAAACCAGTCTGTGAGTCGTTTGTACTTCTGGCTTCCATTCCTGTTTCACCTGCCAGACGTCATCCTGGAATTTCCCCTCAGTCTCATCACACTTTTTATTTTCTGTGTTCCCTCATCCTGTACATGTTTAATAAAGATTCTATTCCTGAAATTGGCTCAATTTTCATGTTTTACCCATGGTTGTTTACACATACAACCTACCCATACTCAACTTTCAAACTTTACCCATTTCATGTTATACCACAGTGCATATCCATGCTTTGTGTCATTGACATGTCTTATTTGCAAAGAAAATCTATACCAACATGCACCATCCCCCACTCTTGTGCTCATAACAGATGTTACTAATCCATCAAGGCACATTTTCCCACCAAGATACTCACAACTTCTGTATCTTTCTCCACACTAAGCTCCCGTTAACCACCACATGTTGATTGGAGTTGGATATGACTTGCAACCAATTTGTTGTCCCTGTTCCAGATTAGAGCATCACCACAGTTCTAGATGGTGGAAATGGAAAGGTACAGCAAGAGAACAGGGTCAAAGGAGATAGCATGTCTATGTGAGATGAGTTGGTCATGATCTATAGAATCTTTGTCCTCAGGAGGGGTGGCTGCCCCTCACCAAGACATCTCAAGGGCTTCTCAGACTCCTCACAGTGTCCAAATGATTATAGCAGACCTGGCCCCTTTCATGTTTTGTTAGCTTCAAGTTCAATGGGAAAGAGCAATAGTGTTCTTTTCCCACAAGTCAGAGAAATTTCGTCACATTTCATCTACTCTGATTGAGTCACATGATCATCCTTGATCCAATTCATTTCGTGTGTGTTCCGGGCTGGGGTGTGGAGGGAGTGATGCGAAATGACATCATTGGTCAGGTCTGAGTCTCATGTTCCACCCTGAAAACTCAGAATCACACAAAAGAAAGTTGAGGCTGCTGGAAGATTTGAAGGGTACTGGGTAATAATTATCTAAGAAACGATGTGCTCAGATGCCACCAGAAGAGACCTCAGTCTAGGCTCTGAGGATACAGTAGTGAACAAAACCAAGTTTCAGCTGGAGCTTATTCTCACCTGTGAAGGTGACATTTGAAAATGAGGGAGCAAACTAGACGCAGGATACCTGAGGGCAGAGTAGTCCACACAGAGGGAACAGCAAGGATAGATGTGCTGAGATAGAAGCATACTCGGAGAGTCTGAGGACCGTCGTGGAGGTCAACAAGGTTGGAACAGAGGGTACAAGGGGAAGAGAGGTAGGTGATGAGGTCAGATGTTAAATGGTAGGAAATGGGACAGGGAACTGTTTTGGGGGTGGGGGGAATTTTTACAGCCATTGTGAAAATTTTGACTTTGAGATGGGAAGCAATTGGAGAGTGTTGAGCTGATGGTCATATAACCTACTGTATGTCTTAAAAGAATCTTTTTTATTTCTCTGTGCAACCAGTGCAGGGGTGAAAGGGGTGAAGCGGAAGTGGACTGACCAGCTAGGAACCTACTACAATTTTTAGCCAGAAAGTTGTGGTGGCTTGTGCCAGGGTGGAAGTGATATAAATGGTAAGAATAAAAGGTTGGAACTAAGGGACATTCTGAAGGCGGCATAAATGATAAATGCTGATAGATTAGACGTGAGGATGTGGAAAGAGAGGAGGCAAGGATGTTGCCAAGGTTCGTGGCCTAAGCAAAGGATAGGATGATGTTTCCATAGGGAAGACTGAGGGAGAGTAAGGTTTAGGTTGAACTGGATTTGCAAGTTTTGGGTATTAAGAGATAGCAAGTCATTAATTGATATAGAAGTTTTTGTAAAAGATTTTTTAAAAAGATTTTTTGATGCAGACTATTTTTAAAGTCTTTATTAAATTTGTTACAGCACTGCTTCTGTTTTATGTTTTGGATTTTTGGCCCCAAGCCATGTGAAATCTTAGCTCCCCAATCAGCGATTGAACCTGCACCCCCTGCATTGGAAGATGAAGTCACTACCGTCAGACCACCAGGGAAGTCTCAATGTACAAGAGAGAGGTGTGGGATGACATTTAAGCTTGGAGGATCGGCAAGATGGTATTTAAAGCTGTGAGAAGAAATATGAAAACCAAGTTGTTTGTGTAGACAGATGAGAGAACACATTTCAGGCTGAGCAGTGCAGCCCCCCACCGCAGGAACTGGGGCAAAAATCCCCATCCGCACAAATGGCTTTGTGTCTCTGAGTGCTAATAGCTCCCTTCCCAGAGCTGCCCAGCTAGAATCATTTTTACCACTAGTTTGACTTTTTGCTGAACTCCAGGTTTCCTATTTGAATAAGACTTTTCTATATCATTTTAAACTTTGTGAATGTTTTCCACGCTTAGTCCCCCTAAATGTTGACACATCAGGAAGGTCAGCCTAAATTGAACTGCCAAGGCAAATGCTGAGATAGCCAAGAACAGAACTCTGGTTTATCTTGGAAGGCAGGACCACAGGGTCTTAGCTTTCAAGGCCAGACCGACTTGCACAAAAGAAAGAAGGCGATTGGCCCAAGATGGACAATGCCACAGCCAGGTCCTACCCCTGTCTGGACTCTTGCATGGGGCATGAGAAGGTCAGCTGGGACAGGGGTCCTCTCCCAGGGCCTCCAGGAATCTGGGTCAGCCTCCTGGTGCCTGTTTCCCAGGAGACCAAAGAGGTTGCTCCATCCTCATTGGCCGGTCGGATTAATCTGGTGCCTAATCAGGCCCCTTTGAAGAGGGGGAGGAGTGATAAAAGAACTGCACACCTGTTTTCACTTGACTCCAATCCTGAAATAATTCCATGGCTCCTACAAGATTTGAAACAAATTAAATTTGAAAGGGCAGAGAGGGCAGCTTTGAATGGTTGGCTCTGTCAAGAACTGTGGGTTTTCGCTNCTCTGTCTGCTAGACGTGGGGGTACAGACCTCACCCCGGGCGGGATAACCGTCTCTGGACGTGGCCTGATGCCCTCTGGAGGAGGGTTGCAGCCACATAGGGCTGCTCGGCTCCCGTCTCAGTCTGCACCTCCTCATGCATGCTCCCCTCTGCCCCACCCCGCGGTCCTCCAGCTCAATGCGCCTCTTGTTGTAAAAGGAAAGAAGCTTTGGGATTTATTACAACTCATCACTAAAGCAGGGGTCCCCAACCACCGGACTATAGACCAGCGCCAGTCCACCGCCTGTTGGGAACCAGGCTGCACAGGAGCTGAGCGGCGGGTGGGTAAGCGAGCGAAGCTTCATCTGCCCCCCATCAGTCACGTTACGCCTGAACCATCTCCCCAGCGCCCCATCCCTGGAAAAGCTGGCTTCCATGAAGCCGGTTCCTGGTGCTAAAAAGGTTGGGGACCACTGCCCTGTTATACGTAAGGCTCATCTCTGGGAACCCTGCCTCCCAGGTAAGCAGCACCAAGCTAAAATACCTTTGTTTAGCTCACGGGAAACACTCTGACCAGAGCCAGCTGCGAGTGACTGCAAGGGAGGAGGCAGTGAGCCAGCAGGTGTTTGAGTCTGCTCCTTCCCCTCTTAGTACAGAAGGAGCCTGGATTCTGACTCCGGCAAGATGGTTCACTGGGACGTGAGTCCCCCATCTTCTCCGTCTACTGGCTTTCCCAATAAAGTCACCGTTCCTTGTTTCAGCAACTCATCTCTCGATTTACTGTCATGCATCAAGCAGGACGAGCTTGGACTCAGCAGCATTATCACCATTTATCACTTTCACGGATCCCATGTTCAACTCATCAGCCGTCCTTCTCCTCTCATCACCTTCACTGCAGAGGGGCTGCCTCGAACTTGCCTCCATCACAGAACAGGGAAGGACCTACACTTGCCCTATTAAATTGATTGTTTCTCCTTCCTTTATTCCACTATTAATCAATAAGGAAAAACAGATGGTTCAGACAATGCGAAGCCAGTTGGGCCCCCCAGTAGTCTAGAAATCACAGCGGTTGGTCTCACACTGACCGCATGATGGAGCTGCTAACTTTAGCATCCTCAGTACAGCCCCGAACAGCACATGCCAAGCTCTGATGGACCTGAAACATACTGGACACTTGGGAGAAAGCAGGACAATAAAAAAAAATGCCACCGTGTACATTAACCACGGACAGGGAAGCCTGGCGTGCTGCAGTCCATGGGGTCACAGAGAGTCGGACACGACTGAGCGACTGAACATTAAAAAGCTTTTCAGTCCTCTGTGGAGACGAGCAGGTGGAGGAGACGGGCTGGTGTTCCCTCGACAGATGTCTAACAGGGAGGGAAACCACCTCCCCCGGCTCACCTGGTTTTCGATGCAGCGGAACTGCCAGGGCCAGCGGCTGTTGTACAGAAACGGCCGCAGGTCGAACCTATTGTCGTCCGGGCTGTAGCTCTCGGCGTGGTATGCGGGCGTCAGCGTGGTCATTTTGTGTCTGTTCAGGGAATACTTGGAGAAAAACCGCTTCACTTTGTCGGCGACCTGGGAGGCGAGGGGCGCACGGGGCCTGGTGTTGGCAAAGCCGGGAAGCCCTCAGGCCAGCGTTCTCAGCAGTATCGCCCCAGCCAGTTAACATCCTCCCCCCAGCACCCCCAGAGTGCTGCCTTGGGACCTCCTCAAAGGCAGGAGTGGACCGATGCTGCTGCTCAGGCTAGAGCAGCTGAGTGAGCTGTAAGGATGTGGGTTCCTGACTCCAGCGTCCTGGAAACTGCATGAGGAGACCTGGGCAGGGGTCCCAGGAAGATGTATTCCTATTTCATGAGGCTTCCAGGTGGTTCTGCAGGGACCGCCCTGTCTGTGGGCTTCAGCCCTAATGAGCCTGACTACTAGGGAAAAAGAAGCCATATTCTGACCTCGGAGTTCGCCCTCTGCCCCCCAAAGAGGGAAGGAGCTTGCTTGTTGTGACGGGGTCCAGCCCCACTCAGATAAGCTCAGTCAGGGCTGCGGGAGGGCTGAGAATGGGGCCGTGGCTCCTCACGGAGTGCTCTCCTTCTAAAGTCACACAGCGGCCACCTGCTCCGGAGCCAGACTCACTCACAAGGTGAGCTCACCTGCCGACTCCCCGAGGGCGCCGGGCACGCCTCACCTGCCGGGGCGAGCAGGTGTCCTTCCACATGTTGAGGAGTTTGCAGAACATGCTGTAGGGGCCTGTCTTGGCGACCTTCCGGAGCCTCCCATAGACGGACAGCTCGGCGTACGTCATCCCCATGTCTTCCTGGGGACGAGAGAGATGTGTCTCACGAGTGACAGCAGGTCAGCGCTGGGGGGACAGCCTGAAACCTCTGCTGGAGACGGAACCAAGCCCCCCGGCCCCACCTCCTCCCGGACCCAACCTCGAGAGACCCGAATCGAACATCAGAGGTCAGCAATGGATGATGCTGAGCTCTGGACTCCCAGCCGGGGACCCAGTGATTGAGCATGCTTGTTCGGGGGCAGATAGGAGGCCACGTAGGAGCCCTGGAGTGGGGAGGTGGCCGGGGAAGTGCAGTGACAAAGCCAGCACGGTTACCTCATCGGTCTGGGACACCCGCCCGTGGGCCAAGGGCTCCAGCTCAGCTGTGGCCGGTGCTGCCAGGATGCTGCGGTCAGGGCACACAGAGCTCGGTCACAACACCTGGGTGATACCGCAACAGACACCACGCAAGTGCAGAGATGGGAAGCGCCGACTTTCCAGCCTCTCGGGGGGCAGAGGGAGGCGGTGGCTGCCGAATCTGGCCACAGCCAGGGTGGCAGCAATGGGAAGGAAGTGGGTACCTGGTCCTGGCGCCCGAGTGCCCTTGGAGGCCTGACCGCTTCCATCAGGTGATGGGCGGTACGGAAGGTGGCTGAGGGGGACAGGGCGGCCAGGGCTGTGCTGAGAAGACGCATACCCAGCGGCCCTCAGGCACAGCTGTGGCCTCGCGGGAGCACACACACCTCTGCAGGGCGGGAAGCTGGAAGCGTTCCATGCAGAGCTGGACGAAGGCTCTCAGGTCCGTCTTGCTGATCCCACCGATGGGGTTGATGTCGGCGCTGGAGCAGTCGTACTTGGTCAGGTAGCCGAGGAGGCTGCAGTCGGAGAAAGGACAGGCGGTTTTGAGGCAGCAGACCCGGGAACTGCAGACTCCGAGAACCTGGGGGGCCTGGCCATCTGGCCCCTGGGCACCAGGACATGCGTCTTCCGGGGCCCTGGAGCCAGAGCTTGGCCGACTCGAGGGTCTCAAGCAGTCTGATGTGCTGGGGCAGACTGGGGAAGGGGCAGGCGCTGTGGACGGCCGAGGAGGGCTATCCAGCAAGCCAGAGGGTCAGTTTGGGGGATGACCAGTGCCACCCACAAGTGGGGCTCCTTCAACCAACCCCGAGGTGGGTGTAAGGTCACTCCCCCTCCCATTAAACGGAAGGCTGACGGTACAAACAGGGTCCGGTCTGTGGGCAAGGGTCAGTATTCCCAGGCAGGAGCGATGGCCGTTTCCATCTGACCCCTGCGCCTCTCCCGCCCCTCGACTGCTCCCAAAGGTGCCCCCAGAGCTGCGGCGCAGTGAGCGGGGCACGGACCCCAGGGGTGGCCTCAGGTGGAGCGGGGTCTCCTCCAGCCGGGGGCCACACACACCTCTCATCCACGTTGGCGGATCCAAGGACGAGAAGCCCGCCGGAGGCGCCGCGAGACCAGAGGCTCAGCTGAGCGATTTCTTCCGGGGCCCTGGAGCCAGCGCTTGGCTGACTCGAGGGTCTCAAGCAGTCTGATGTGCTGGGGCAGACTGGGGAAGGGGCAGGTGCTGTGGACGGCCGAGGAGGGGTATCCAGCAAGCCAGAGGGTCAGTTTGGGGGATGACCAGTGCCAGCCACAAGTGGGGCTCCTTCAACCAACCCCGAGGTGGGTGTAAGGTCACTCCCTCTCCCATTAAACGGAAGGCTGATGGTACAAACAGGGTCTGGTCTGTGGGCAAGGGTCAGTATTCCCAGGCAGGAGCGACGGCCGTTTCCATCTGACCCCTGCGCCTCTCCCGTCCCTCAACTGCTCCCAAAGGTGCCCCCAGAGCTGCGGCACAGTGAGCGGGGCACGGACCCCAGGGGTGGCCTCAGGTGGAGCGGGGTCTCCTCTAGCCGGGGGCCACACACACCTCTCATCCACGTTGGCGGATCCAAGGACGAGAAGCCCGCCGGAGGCGCCGCGAGACCAGAGGCTCAGCTGAGCGAAGAGGTAGGCGACGACCATCCTCACCCGCGCCTGGCCCACAGGAGCGGGCGTCACCGTGCAGGCTGGGGCTGCGCACACACGCTAATACCACCTCCCCGCACCTCGGAGAGCAGGAACGCTTAAGAGATGCAGGAGCTGCTAGCGGCCAGAGAGCTGGAGCCCATGGTCCCTCCCCCGAGGGATCCTGCACTCAGCAGGAAGGGACCAGAGCCCGGGATGAGAGGTGGGCAGCGGGGAGACTGGGCTGCAAAGCCAGCGGGAGAGACCTCGGCTGGTCCGGCCAGTCCCTGCACCCCCGGAGAAGGCCACCAGCAACCACAGGAAGGGGATGGAGACAGGGCAGACCGTAGCAGACGCAGCGCACGCCCCCTCTTTCCCTGCACGGGCCACCCAGGGTCTAGCTCCCCTGTAGCCGATCCCTGAAGACGCAGAAGACACACACCCTCATACACACTCACACCTCATGCTCACAGACTCTCACGCTGATGCACACTCACACACACGTGCTTTCACCCCCACACTCACGCACACTCTCAGATACCCCACCCCCTTACCCTTGCCCACTTCCCTATTCCTGGGCACACACCTGTGCACACTTTCACCCTCATACCCTCCCCGCACCTCTCACGCACACACATGCAGACCCCCATCCTTGTCCAGGAGGCTGCACGCTCCGCGTCTCTAAGAGGCGGGCTGCTTGCGGACCCCAGCGCCGGCCGTCCCCTGGGTTCCCTGCAGTCCCCGCGTGCGGACAAGGTGGGGGGCGCACCTGCACGTTCTGCAGAGCCAGGTTCTCCCGGCCGCTCCCTCCGTGAACCGCAAACCGAGGGCTCCTGCCCGTCACCAGGCTAAAGATGCCCACGAGCGCCTTGACCGCTGGGTCAATGCTGAGACCGATGTGGTGGCTGGAAGGAGAATGGGTGGGCGTGCAGACAGTGACAGAAACACACAGGGCATGGAGCGCGCCGCCTTCAAGGGCACTGTCCAGCAGCACTGAGCACATTCACGACGTGCCACCACCACCTCTAGTTCCAGAACCTTCCAGGGGCCCAGAAGGAGACCCTGTGCCCACGAGCGGTCCCTCCCCAAGCCCTCCTCTTCCAGCCCCTGATGACCACGGACTACCACCTCTAGTTCCAGAACCTTCCAGCGGCCCAGAAGGAGACCCTGTGCCCACGAGCGGTCCCTCCCCAAGCCCTCCTCTTCCAGCCCCTGATGACCACGGACACCCTTTCTGCGTGTGTGTGTGTGTGCATGAGCGCTCAGTTGTGTCTGACTCTTTGTGACCCCATGGACCGGAGCCTAGCCAGGCTCCACCATCCACGGAGTTTTCCAGGCAAAAATACTGGGGTCAGTTGCCATTTCCTTCTCCAGGGGATCTTCCCAACCCAGGGATCGAACCTGCATCCCTTTCGTCTCCTGCACTGGCAGGCGGGTTCTTCACCACTGAGCCACCAGGGAAGCCCTGAGATCTGCCTATTCTGGACCTTTCGTAGAAATGGAATCACACAGGACCTGTCCTTTCGTGTCTGGCTTATTTCACTGAACCTAATGCTTTTGGGTTCACCCAGGTGGTAGCCTGTGTCAGTGCTTCCTTCCTTTTTAAGGCTGAGAAGCACCCCCATGTGTGAACAGACCACATCATGATTCTCTCCTCGACTGCTGATGACGTGTGAGGTGTGACCATGCTGCGTGGACACGAATGTGTAAATACTTGCTCATGTCTTTGCTTTCAGTCCCTCTGCCTGGGGGCAGCACTGCTGGTAGGGGGCAGCTTTTAGCTGAGCTCTGCTTACAGAATGGGCAGCTACCTTATCTTTTCTTTGGAGGCAGAACAGATGGAACGTTCTGAACGGAACCAAGTCTCCCTGAACAGACAGGTGCAGCCCCCTGTACCTGTGTCTGGTACATGGCCCCCGAGAAAGGAGGAGGAAGGCAGGGGGCTGTACCCCCAGAGCGGCGAGGGGCTCCTGTGCTCCCACCCGGAACGCATCAGCCCGCTCCTGGGAAGGATGGAGGGGAAGGGGGAATCTCAGACATGGAGAAGATCTGGGGTGAAGCTGAAGGGAAAGCTGCTCGCCTCTGGGGTGCTCAGTGACCCACCAATGGGGTCTCGGGGGAGCTTCCTGTGGTCCCCGCCAGCTGCCGGGCCCGACACCAGGGACCAGCTACCTTCCGATCTGCTGGGCCAGCTCTCGGGCCCTGTCACAGGTCTCCCGGGAGGAGTTCTCGCTGGCCATGTAGCAGGTGGTCAGGACGCGGCCGCAGAGCTCCCGGGGGTCCTGGGGGGTGTAGCTGGGCTGGTTCACGATGGTTCGGACGTCAGCCAGCACCTCTGGATCTGAAACCCATGGGACAGAGGGCACGTGCTGTGAGTCCGGCGCCTGCACCACCCGGACCCGCTCCGCCGCCCGGCAGTCTTGCCGGATGACCCCAAAGTGCCTGTTTCTCAGCTGTGGACGCTTCGGGAATGGCTGATGTCGTCTCTCACGGCGGCAGGGTGTGAACCTGGGCTGGCCTGACCCCAGGGCCCTGTGCTTTCCTCCCAGCCAGGCTGCCGACACACAGCAGCGGCAGGCACCCTGTGGGCTGATGGACCCAGCCATGTGGGCCTGAGGGAAGGGACTTTAGTGGCCTTGCTGTGCCCAGGTCCCGAGACTTGGGGTGACGCTGGGACATCTGAGCATGCCCCCCACCATGATGCCCAGGACCTGGGTTTGCCCCTCTGCTCCTCCCGCAGGCTGAGCCCCCGCCCCGGAACGTGTTCGGGCCCCAGGCATCACCTACTTCCACGCCTCACAGCCTCGCAGACCTGGCGGCACATGGAGTAGACCAGGCAGGCGGTGGCCGCGCTGTCCACCCCGCCGCTCAGGGGAAGGAAGAACCCCGCCTGGAACAGGCCAACCAGACGGCGGCGTGAGTGGAGCCTCATGCCCAGCAGTGAGCCCGGTTCCCCTGGCAAAAACAAGCGCCCACAAAGTGCTCTCCCCCGGGGAGGAGAAGGGAGCCCTGCACGTTCCGTAAGGCGAACGGAGCTCCACCGTGGAGGGCCCAAGGCTGTGTCTCTGCTGTGAATTACAGACGCGCACGACCACACAACTAGGCAGAAAGTCTTGTAACTCGGGGTCATCAGACAGGACCCCAAAGACAGAGCCAAACCTCAGTGCGACCTTGGCCAGGGTAGCCGAGACTCCTGACTGAGGCAGAGTCAGGAAATGTTTGCATGAAGAAATACCTGTCAGGGCTTCCCCGGTGACCGAGGAGTTAAGAATCTGTCACGCAATGCAAGGGACCCTGGCTCGACCCCTGGTCTGGGCGGACTCCGCCTGCCGCAGGTCACCTAAGCCTGTGTGCCACATCTACCGAGCTCACACTCGAGAGCCCGTGTGCCCTTGAGCTCCGGCTCCACGACAAGAGGAGCCGGCACCGTGAGAAGCCCACACACTCAACCTGGAGAGCAGCCCCCGCTCGCGGCAACTAGAGAAAGCCCGTGTGCAGCAGCAAAGATCCACCACAGTCAGAAAGCAAACTAAATAAATTCATCTTAAAAAAAGAAAGTCATCAGCATGCCACAGGGTCAAACGCAAACCCACTGTAGAAGGATTAAAGGCGGCTGGCCAGATCCCCCCATCGCCCCCGACATCTTACCTGTCGGCTGCGTCTTAAGAAGTCCCAGAGCCAGCACGCGGGTCCCAGGCTGGGGAACAGTGGGAAGCATGAGGTTGTCGAGCCGCCGCCCTGGTTCGCAGCTCACCTGGGGGCAGGTGCCCAGGTGGACGCAGGGCCGGTGGGCGGCGCCAGCATGCTGCCCCCGGCTGCTTNGGAAGCATGAGGTTGGCGAGCCGCCGCCCTGGTTCGCAGCTCACCTGGGGGCAGGTGCCCAGGTGGACGCAGGGCCGGTGGGCGGCGCCAGCATGCTGCCCCCGGCTGCTTTCAGCCTTTCGAGGGAATGAGTGCATCTGAAGCCTCAGAGCGGCCCCAGGAGGTAGGAGCGATCATTGGTCCCGTGGGGGAGATGGAGACACAGAGAAGCAAGCCCGGTGTCTCTATGCCCGAGGGCCCGAGGCAAGGCGGGTGGGCTGGGCGTGGGGCCCGTGGTCTAGTCACAGTGTCGACTGCAGGCCCTGGAGACCAGGGCGCAAGGCCCCCAAGAGGCCACTTGGCAGCACAGCGGGGGACGGAGGGCGTGCCTTGGGAAGGACAGTGCGCCGGTCGCTCAGTCGTGTCTGACTCTTTGCAACCCCGTGGACTGTAGCCCGCCAGGCTCCTCTGTCCATGAGATTCTCCAGGCAGGAAGGAGTGGGTTGCCATGCCCTTCTCCAGGGGATCTTCCTGACCCAGGGATCGAACCCCGGTCTCACGCATCGCAGACGGATTCTTTGCCATCTGAACCACCAGACCCCCCCTCCACCCGCTTCCTTGCACACCAACAGCCCCACCTGATCTCCTCGGCGGGGCTGTGGTATTTCCACTCGATGGGCTCAGACACAGGCTCCAGCAGGTCCTCGTGGCAGGAGAGCGCGAAGTCCACCTTCACACGGGGGTAGGAGCTCACCCTGCTGGCCTGGGAGGACACCCCCCTGAGAGCCTGAACCCATGCAGGTCCCTGGGATGACTGAAGGGGGAACGCTACGCGGCTCAGAATCCCGGTGGGGACCCTTCACAGCCACCAGGACGGCCAGGACACAGATGGGTGCAGCAAACACTGGCGGGATGTGGGGATCTGGAACCCTCGCACAGTGCCGGGGAGACGCGAGACGGAGAAGTGACTGAGGACCGTCTGGCAGGACCTCCCACCACTAAACAGAGAATCACCACAGGACCCCACAGCCAGCCCCAGGTAGATAACAGAAGACGCGCACACGTGTCCACACAGACGCCTGGCATAGGCCCTCAGCAGCACCGTCATCATGGACAGAGCAGAAACGGCCCAAATGTCCACCGACGGGTGAATGGACACACAGCATGTGGGCTGCCCATGCAGTGGAATATTACTCAGCCATAAAAAGGAATGAAGAACTAACACACACCTCAGCACGGATGAACCACAAAACACTATCCTCAGTGAAAGAAGTCAGTTGCAGAAGGCCACATATTATACGATTCCATTTATATGAAATGTCCAGAATTGGCAAACCCATAGAGTCAACACAGACCGTGGTTGCCAGGGGCCCTGAGGGAGGTGAATGAGACAACTCATGGGTCCAGGGTTTTTTCAGGTGATAAGAACGTTCTGACACTGATTGTGGTGATGCTGCTCAACTCCACAAATATACTAAAAACCACTGCATCATGTGCTGAAGTCAGTGAATTATAGGGTTTGGGAATGACATTTCAGTGAAGCTATTATTAAAAATATTTCCCCATCTTTGATGAGCATCCTATGGATGTGTTTATAATCGCTTACCGCCAGGTTTCGAGATGAAATCTCTGCCCTGTAGCTTCTGATGTCTTCCAAATCCAACGTGGCAGTGAGGACTTCCTAGAGAAGGGAGTTTCAGAGAAAAATCGTGATTTCCTATTTTTTCCCTCACACATCTATGTTCATAGGTATGCCACATTACACACAATGAGTCCCACCTTCTAAGGCAGGCACTGGGGGCCTGGGGAGAGGGGAGTACCACTGGTGGCCCACCCAAAGCCCTTCCCTCTTGTCATTGCCACCAGAATCTCTGTTGAACTGACACACTTGCTGATGAGACACAATAAATGTCTGTTGGGAGCTTTTGAGAGTTTCTTAAAAAGACACAGGGAGAGCAAGGGCCCTCTTTCTGCCTTTGAATGTGGTTGTATGAAGATGAGATGGCTGGAGCTGCTGCAGCCATCCTGTGACCATGAGGCAGCTGACAATGAAGCCTACACAGAGGAAGGCCCAGCTGGAGAGTGACAAAGGGATGGAGCCAGAGCCCCAGCAGTCATCACACGAAGGCCCCAGCCCAGATGTGCTGCATGTGCTCCAGGACATGACGCTTCATTGCCTTTGAATCCAGAGGAGATGGAGGTTCTGGCACTTGCAACCAACAGCAGAAAACAGAAAAGTTTTAACTCAGCGATATTACTCCTTTCTTTATGAAAAAAATCCTAACCAGGTCACACCACTAGGATACTGTCTCATACATGCAGGTGCAGGACAGCAGGAACTACTTCTGAGGGGGACCCACGGTGGCCAGGCCTCTGCTTCTGCTGCTGGCCGTGGGCAGCCGTCTATGCCAACACCGAGCCTAACCCAATATAGAAACGCCTGTGAAGAGACAGACAGCAAAGAACTCCCATGTCCACTAGTCCTTCTGTCATTTCCCAAGTGCTGGCCACAGAAGCCACCAGGCTGCTCCTGATGAAGCCACAGAAATTGGGAAGACCCCAGAGGAGTGAACCCTTCCTGAGAGGAAGGCCCCAGTCCACTTTTCCTGGAACTAGGTTAGCTGCACATAAAGGCCGGGTCAAGGCCATGAGAAGCACATGCCCTCAAGAAGGCCCATGGACCGGAGAGGTGGCAGAACCAAAGGGTACTGCCCACACCCCAGGGCAGTGATGCCACCTCTGCCAGGAACACTCAAATCAGAAAACTCTGGCTCAAGGGCCCCCCTGGGGGTGTGGGGCAACGGTCCCCAGGTTATAGTGTGGCAAACAATCACCCAGGTGCTTGGTGAAATGGGGGCTCCTGGGGGGCCTGGAACCTGCAGCCACCTGCGCACCTGCTCATCCAGGTACAGGCGATCCCCAAAACTCACTGCCAGTCAGTCCAGCAAGTACCTGTGGCCCGGACGTCTGGCCAAGAGTCCTGGCCAAGCAGACCTGCGCCGAGGCGTGTCTGGAGCAGACGAGCGCCTGGCCATTTGCATGGACCTCACCTGCACCTCCAGAGGCCTTCCGTCTTAATCAAGGTTAACACTGAACAGCAGGAGGCCTCTGGGGACCCCGCCACCGGGAAGGCAAGGTCTGGGGACTATGCTCATTCCCACTGGGAAGGCAGGATCAGGGTCCCCATGGTCTCGGGACCATTTGCAGGGAACTGGCTTCTTCCAGCTGCTAGGGCCAGACTGTCAAACCCTGGGCTTCGTTCTGAGCAAGAAATACCATGAATTCATTCCAAGGTTCCTTTCCTCAGTCCATTCTGAAACTGAAGTTTCATTTCATAACCACTTCCTTGCCGACAACCCCAGTGAGACCGCACAAGTATGTGAAACAGTGAAGCAACAGACATCGCATCAGAGGGTCCTGGAGAAATTCTTATTTGGAGACACCCGCTTGTGTTGTTCTGACAGAGAAATCCCCAGAAACCCTTTCTTCTCCTGCTACTACCTGCTTCTGTGAATAAGCATTTCCAACATTTGTTTCCAAAAACCCCGAAAAGACAAGACGAGAGATGCCGTGTGAAGCCTATGCTGACCGCCTGAGCCCAGTCACAGCAACTCTTTTTGGCAGAACCGAAAGTTACTTTGTGTTTCGTTTGCAGATTTGGAATGGATTCCCATTTGGGAGCAATGACAGTCACTTTCTTTCTTGGAGGCTTAAAAAACTCTCGAGAGCCACACAATTCTCTTTGTTGTTGTTCAGTCGCTCCCTTGGGTCCGACTCTTTGCAACCCCAAGGACTGCAGCACGCCAGGCTTCCATGTCCTTCACCATCTCCCTGAATTTGCTCAAACTCAGGTCCACTGTGTTGGTGATGCTATCTAACCATATTATCTTCTGTCATCCCCTTCTCCTCCTGCCTTCAATCTTTCCCAGCATCAGGGTCTTTTCCAAAGAGTTGGCTCTTCACATCAGGTGGCCAAAATAGCTTCAGCTTCAGCATCAGTCCTTTCAATGAATATTCAGGTCTGATCTCCTTTAGGACGGACTGGTTGGATCTCCTTGCAGTCCAAGGGACTCTCAAGAGTCTTCTCCAGCACCACAGCTAGAAAGCATCAGTTCTTCAGCCCTCAGCTTTCNTCCTGCAGCTCCACTGCAGCCCCGTGGGGACCTCCAGGGCGTGCGGGGCGGATAACCCACCACGGATCCGTCCGTCCAGTGCATTGTGTGGGGGCGTCCCTGTAACCTCAGGGTAGGAAACCCTCACCCCACCAAGGAGGTGAAGAGGAAGCAATCACAACTAGCAGGATCCCTCCCGGGGGGCACATCAGACCCCCGGTTATGGGGAGAGCAGAGAACACAGCCTCTGAATGAGGGACCCTCCCGCCATTGCTCGGGCCGGCTCGAACCACATCATCCAGAGAGAACTGGGACCCCTGGGCAAAGATGCTGCCATTCATGGCTATGAGGGCACAGCCGTCGTAGTAGAGCCGGTCCCCGTCACACCCCTTCTGATTGGCCAGCAAGTAGATCCCGCCGTTCTGCAAAACACAGGGGATGGCAGTGGTCAGCTCTGATCCATCACCTTCACCCTCTGCCGGCCCAGACATGCGGGGCTTCAGGCCTCCACCCCCCGCAACTGTGCTGTACTATCAGCGCCCCAGCTCCAGCCAGTAAAACACACGCCTCCAGGGGAGGCCCCGCGGCTATGACGGCCTCGGCCTCCCAAGGCAGCAGGCGTCACACAGAGCGTCTACTCTCACCCCCAACAACCCTCCAAGGCGGGTGCCGCCACCTCCCCCAGGAGGGGGGAGAGACGGAGCTTCGGAGAAGACAACTCCGGATGCTGCCCCCGGAAAGAGCAGACGTGGCCCCTGGGGTCACGCTGCCTGCAAGAGCGGCAAACTCATGGGCGTTCCCCGGGCCCGGCTATGGTGCCAAGGGGGTGCTGATTCCTGGTCACTTGTCCCGAGACCAGTGTGATGGCTGAGAGCCCAGAAGCTGGATGGCTGGGGTGTGAGGCCAGAGGCCACGCGACAGCCATGTGCTGGGTGCCCTGCTCCAGAGAGCGGAGGTGGCAACAGCGCCTGCCTCATAGGGTGCTTTCCATCACTAAACAAGGTCATGGACGTGGGGCCTGGGAGGGGGAGTCACAGGGGCCGGTCAGCCACGGCCGGACCCAGGAGCAGCGGGCAGCCCCGCGCTCAGGCCTCGCTCTGCGCTGGGCGCTGGGGTCCCGCGTGTGTGAGACACACGTGCACCCATGTCCCCGCCACCGCCTACCTTGGTGGTGGCCATGGTCACCAGGTCCACCCGGGCGTGGGCTTTGCGCAGCACGTGGTGGCTGCCCGAGGCGTTGGTGAAGATCTCCACCCCGTCCAGGCCCATGTCCACGTGCGGGCTGCAGGCAGAGGGGGTCAAAGAGAAGAGACTCGTGTCCCCAGCCCGCCCACCCAGTCCCGCACCTCCTGGGGTATCTTCCCTGCCCCGGGCTGAGACGCCAAGATGGCTGCAAATACCCAGCCCCCTTGGGCCCTGCAAGGATGGGGATCAGAGGGTACAGAGGGCAGGGCTAACCTGTGGGGCGTCCAGAGCTCCTCACAGACCTCACTCCCGATGCAGGTGTCCCGCGTGGAGAGGACGGCATCCCCAAAGGGCACAGTTTCCTAGGAGGGAGACCAGAGCTCATGAGGCCCCCGGCCGTCCCGTCTGGGCCGCATGCTGAGCCGGGACCCCAGAGGCCACACATGGGACTCGTAGGAAGGCCGACGTTTTGTTTCAAGCCCTAATGAATCCCTCCTCCCCCGGGGAGCATTCCCAGCCCAGGGCCAGCGGGCATCTCCTCTGCCTGCCGGCCAGGGTGGTGCAGGAAGCCCCCTCCCAAGCTCCCCTGAGCCCAGCCCACGGTGTGAGCCGGAGGAGAGGAGGGGACATCACGCAGCAGCAAGGAGGCGCCCCCCCCCCCCCCCATGCTTCTGGGACCCTCCTCACTTGTGACAGAAATCACCCCCCATCTGTGTTTTCCTTACATTTTCCTTACATTTCCTTACAGTGATGCTGTGACCCTGTCCCCAAGGGTCCTGCCCCCACGGCCCACCCCAGAGGGGCAGCCTGACGGACAAAGAGCTTTCTGCCCTGAGACTCACCTGCTTAGTCAGGTCCTGTAACATCCGGGGGAGAAAATACTCCTCTGTTTGCCTGGAAGGGGAACCACCACAGACCTGAGTTGGACCGTCTCAGGGAAAACGCAGAATGGCATCCGGATGCAGGGCAAAGCTCAAACTGAGGGCGTGGAGCCTGTGAGCTGGCAAAGGAACTATCAGGTTTTCACACACGCTGTTGCGACCAAGTTAAGGTAAAAAGGGAAGAGCCAGGCGACTCCATGAGGCTTCCGGGCCACGGGACACCGAGGCACTTGGGAGCTCCCTCACTGGCCCTGCTTGCCCCACGCTTTCATTACAGCTTCTGAGAGGCACATCGAGGGAACTGTCCGAGAAGGAGACACATTTTCCCACAGAGAAATGCGGCTGGAATTTCTGAGGAAAACTCTTCAATCAGAAAGATCGCACTGCATGAAGCCAGCATGCAGAGACAAGCCTGTATCATCACTGAAGCAATCATGTCCGAATCATGTAAGATGGAGAGAGAGTTTAATACATAACTCTGTACAAGCCATCCTAGAAAGTGAAAGTGATAGTCGCTCATTCGTGTCCGACTCTTTGCAGCTCCATGGACTATAGCCCACCAGGCTCCTGTGTCCACGGAATTCTCCAGGCAAGAACACTGCAGTGGGTGGCCATTCCCTCCTCCACGGGATCTTCCCCACCCAGGATCAAACCCGGGTCTCCTGCATTGCAGGCGGATTCTTTACCATCTGAGCCCCCAGGGAAGCCCAAGCCACCCCAAGGTCTACCCTAACAGGCAGAATTCAAATACTAGATTGTTTCCAAATCTGACCTCAAGTGGGCTGTTGCCAGATGTACCATGAAGACATTGAATTAACTAGATTTCTTTTTGCTTTCTCAGAATTCACAAGAACCTCCTGGGAGATCTTAGTGACTTTTATTTCAGTAATTTTTTTGATAAAGATTTTTTTCTTGATGTGGACCATTTTTAAAGTCTTTACTGAATTTGTTACAATATGGCTTCTGTTTTATGTTTTGGTTTTTCAGCCCTGAGGTATGTGGGATCTTAGGTCCCCAGCTGAGGATCGAACCCACATCCCCTGCACTAGAAGATGAAGTCCTAACCACTGGACCACCAGGGAAATCCCTTAACTAAAATTTAAGAGCAGAGACATTGAGGGGATGACACCATGGCGCCCTCATTAATGAAGGGAACAGAGGCCGCAGACGCCCTCTGACCCCCGAGCTGCCGTGGCACCCCACAATGAGCACTCGATTCACCATCGGTAGGTTTGCTCATCATGACTGATGTTGCTGTATCACAGTCTGTTTTCAAGGGAGAGCTGCCCAAGGTTTCTCCCTTCATCCCCTCCTCCCCTCCTCAATTCACACACGAAGAAGAATGTATACAGGGCTTTTTTAGTGGTAAAGAATCTGTCTGCCAATGCAGAAGACACGGGTCTGATCCCTGATCCCGGACGACCACACATACCGCGGAGCAACTAAGCCCGAGCTCCACAATCATTTAGCCTGTGCCCTGGAGCCCATGTGCTGCAAATACTGAGGCCCGTGTGCCCCAGAACCCACGCTCTGCAACAGGAGAAGCCCCCCCATACCGCAGCTAGAGAGTCACCCCCTCTCACCACAACTAGAGAAGAGACCACACGGCAACAAAGACCCAAGAATAAATACACAAAATTTTTGAAAAAGAATGTATCTAGACATATAACTGAATCATTTTGCTGCTCAGAAGAAATTAACACAACATTGTAAATCAACTATATGCCAATAAAATGTTTAAAAATCACGTTAAAGATTTCATTGGCAATAGCGGCGACAGTGAAAAAAAATAGCGATAACTATTAAGAAGAACGCAGGGTAGGCAAACAGGGACAATTCTGTCCCAGGGGATGCTTGGCAATGTCTGGAGACAGCATAAACTGACAGAGGGATGCAGACGTATCCCCCAGTGGAGGCCACGGACATTGCTGCACACTCTTCCAGGCACAGGACACCCCCACAGCAAGACCAAGCCAGATGTAGAATGATGGGTGACGGGTGACTGATGACTGAGGTTTTTTGTGGTGTCTGATAAACTAGCTACAAATTAATTAGCAGCATCAGGCAGCCATCACTAAATGACAGGTCCCGTGTGGGACAGGGACGCCGGCCCGAATCTCTATCTCCCCCACGCATCCTAGGAGCGGCCACCATCTGGGCTCCCACGCGCAGGCAGACCCACCGGCTCCTGGACCACGGCGTGAACCAGCGCAGCTCGCGGTAGTTGCCCTCATTTGCCAAGGCCATCTTGGGTCTGATGAGCAGGATCTTCCTACAGACAGGGGAATAAGGCTGCTCCTGAGATGAGCACGCCCCACGTGACACGGAGCAGCCACCAGCCCGTCCACCCTGACCATTGATGGGGACAGAGCAGCTAAGACCCGGAGGGTGGGCACTTGCCAGCAACTGATGCCCAGGGTCTGCGAACAGGACATTATTACAAGGCCGCCCTCCCAGGACTGACCTCCAGGCTGCAGGGCTGTGTGTCCCCAAACTCCGCCCATCACCCCTGTTTCTGATGTCTGAAGGTGTCAGTGGTGACAGCCCAGGGCAAGCAGTGCCACCTGCGACGCCTGCCTGCCTGGCACCCCACCCCCACGAAGGCAGTTCCAGAAGAAGCCCCTGGGGACCAAGCCCTGAGCCCAGGGGAAAAGGGGGCCGCGCTGCTCCCGGCAGTCACCCACCTGTTGAGAAATATTACCCTGCAGTTATAGCGGACGTTTCGGTGCATCACAGGCCTGCGGAGAGAGGGGATGTACATCTGCAAAGAGCGGAGCCCCACATCTGCTTTAAAAGGAAGTTTCTCCCAGTCCTCTGCGGGAACCAGAAGGCCTCCTCTTCTCAAATGAAAGCGAGCAACGAACCCGAGCGTTTCTGCTACGGCACAGACTAAATAATGGGAGAGTCTTCTAACTCGCGCACAAAGTCCTTCCCACTCGGGGCCTGTCCTCTCCTTCCAGGAGGTCCTCAGACCATCAGGTGGCCGCCTCCTTCCCTCTGCGCACACCCCTGCTGCCCTGTCACCTGCCCATCCCCTGCTGGCCTCAGGGACCCGCCCCCTGCACAACCCCAGTTCTCCGCCATGGCATCTCTCCTGACTGAGCGCCCCCCCACCAAGAATGCAGGGCAGGGGGACCAGCCCGGGGGGGGGGGCCAGGGCAGGGGCAGGGCATGCAGGACACTGGACAGATCTGCTCGCCTCTCTGTCTGGTCCCCTCAGGACAAACACCCTCCCTGATCACCTGGAACCTTCCTCCTCTGCAGTGGAGGGGCTGGTGCTCTGGAAGCCAGGGCACTCTGCCGGCCGCTGGCCAGGGCAGCGCCGGGCAGGGATGACAGAGCCCAGCTCAGGGCAAGAGTGCAGGAGCTCAGGACAAAAAGCATCAGGCACCCAGGGAGGAGGGCCTTAAGGATGGATCATCAGATAAAAAATAATACGGCCCAGGGAAAAGAGTAAAGAGGGCAGGGGTGCAAGAGGAGATGAAAGCATCCGTAAGCAGTGTGCGCTGTCAAGTCAGGTGGCCGGGTTCCAATCCCGCTTCGCACTGGCTGAGCTGAGCGGCCCCGGTTTCTTTTCTCGGGGCATTTTAAGGGGCAGGATGCAGGCGGGCTGCCTAGGCCCGGGCTCGGCACACGGATGCCAACAGCAAGCACTCCCACCGTTCCAGTTTCCATTCCTCCCAGGCCAACCCAAACCCACCACGCTCACATTCATACAAAAATGTGTTCAGGGCAGGAGGTGAACATCTTTTAGACGAAAAAGAAACCCTCAGTGAATATCTGATTTCCAGCGGGAGTAAGCCTCTCAGACAAAAACAAACAAAAAGCATGACCAGAAAGATTTCAAGCTCAAAACGTAAAATTAAATAGCAAATAACAGACAAGGAAATGTAATTTTATCATATATGGGGACCGCTTGATATCTTTCATATATAAAGAACTCTTAATAAATCAGACACAAACACTTTAATTGCTGGCAAAAGAACAAGCAAGATAGTGTCACAAATGGCGAAAAAAGAAAAAAAAAGAAAAGTTCAGTTTCATAAATTATGACCAAAATAAATATGATAGCTTTTTTTAAAAAAAGTTATTGCTCACTCTAAGATTTTGTCTATTTTGTTTTTCAAAGTTTTCTTTATTTTGAGCTAGCCTTCTGTGATCAGTGCTAAGGGTAACATGCCTCTAACCACAGAAAGCTGGAGGGAGACTCAGTGTCTTTCTCTTGGAGGAATAAGGCAATTCTAGATGGTGAATATCAGTGACATCATGGTATAACTGCTATTTTGTTCAGTGGCACTTACAGATCCAGGTAAATGTTGGATTTCAAAAGAAAAATTTCTTTTAAAAAATATTCCCCTACCAAGCAGCATCAGGTCTTAGGGGCAACACTTGGGACCTCTGGTCTTCACTGCAGTATGGGGGGTCTTTCTTTAGCTGCGGCGTGTGTATTAGTCACTTCAGTTGTGTCTGACTCTGCAACCCCTGGACTGCAGCCCACCAGGCTTCTCTGCCCATGAAACTCTCCAGGCAAGAATACTGGGTGGGTTGTCATTCGAACTCTTAGTTTCAGTATGGGGGATCTAGTTCCCTCACCAGGGATGAAACCTGGCCTCCCTGTATTGGGAGTGCAGAGTCTTAGCCACCGGACCATCAGGAAAGTCCCAGAAAAAACATTTTAGAATATGATTGTTAATGTTTTAAGGGCAAAAACGTAGAAAAATTAAAGTCAGATTACAAATTCAAGGCCAGAAGAGGAAAACAGGCCAAGAAAACAAACAAAAAGACAAAAAGGGGAAAACAATAAAGAAAGAAAACACGGTGACCAGGACAGCTAATAAAGTGGCAAGAATCCGTCCATGTGGTGGGCTGAGTAAAGACCCCCACTGATGTCCCCATCCTGATTCCCGGGACCCGTGGACATGTCACCTCACGTGGCGAAAGGGACCCTGCTGACATCATTGAGCTACAGATCCTGAGACCAGAGATCCCCCCAGACTCCCCAGGGCCCTCCCCGGAACCACAGGGGTCCTTAAATGAGGGAGGAGGGCACCCGGAGGACACGCGGCAGCAGGAGCAGGGGCTGCAGCGACGTGATCTCTGGCTGTGAGGATGGAGGGGGGGCCGCGAGCTGAGGACTGCGGGCGAGCCTGGAAGCTGGACTTGACAAGAACACCGATTCTCCTCCAAGAGCCTCCAGAAGCAACCAGCCCCTCCGACGCATGTAGACTCGTGACCTCCGGAACCACAAGACAGCAGGGTTGTGTGGTTCTGTGTTTTGCATTGTGGTAAGCTGTCACAACAGCACAGCAGGAAACAAACATGGTCCACATGTCAAGAATTATAATAGACGTGAACCAAGTGGGCCAAAAATCCCTCTAGTCACTGCTTAGAAGAGATCCTGCTACACAGCTGTCACAGCAGGTTGAAGTGAAGAACACATGCAAGGCTGAGGAAAAAGAAAGCAAACTTGGCTACATTCACACCACGTAACACAGAACAGAGACGCAAACAGAAGCAACACGAAGCCTGTCAGTCGGCCTGCTTACACAAAGTTGGTCACAGACACAATCTAGAATAGAATAATCCTAGGCCAGAGTCCTCCCCATGTGACCTGCACTCGGGGAATCTATGCCATAGGGACCTACCGGTAGACCTCATTTTATTGCAGTTTGCTTCATTGTGCTTCGCAGATACTGTATTTTTTACAAGTTGAAGGTCTGTGGCAACCCTGCGTGGAGCAGGTCTATTGATGCCATTTTCCCAACAGCGTTTGCTCACTTCCGGTCTCTGGGTCACATTTTAATAATTCTCATGATATTTCAAACCCTCCACCAGCAAAAAGATGATAGCTCATTGGAGGCTGAGAGGATAGGATTTTTTAGCAATAAAGTTTTTTTAAAGTAAGGTATGTATGTGTATTTTTAGATAGAACAGTAAAATGTAAACATAAGTTTTATATGTACCGGAAACCTCCTCCCTCAAATTGGTGTGACTTGCTTTATTTCTATATTTGGCTTTACTGCAGTGCAGTGGAACTGAGCTTGCAAGGTCTCAGAGGTCTGCCTGTAGGCCTCGGGGCCTACAGCTATGGGACCTACACCATAGACATCTCTACATATGGAGCCTGCACCCACGGACCTACACCGTATGCACCTACACCTACGGAGCCTCCACGTATGTATCCACACCCTCCGGAACCAGATGGCTTGTGTGTCAACACGGAATGACATGCGTGCATGCGTGCTCAGTCACTCACTTATGTCCAACTCTGCGACCCCACGGACTGTAGCTCACAGGCTCCTCTGTCCATGGGGACTCTCCAGGCAAGAACACTGGGGTGGGTTGCCATGCCCTCCTCCAGGGGATCCTCCTGAGCCATGTCTCCTATGTCTCCTGCCCTGGCAGGAGGCTTCTTGCCCACGAGCGCCACCCGGGAAGCCCAGAGTGACAGGGAGCCATCCCCAAACTGACTTCTAAGTGGGGAAAATGCTACACAGGAGACTGGGGGGACTGTGCTGTGCCTTGTGCAAGGCGTGTTCCCATGGTGCACAGTAGTGCTTGGAGAAACATAAAAAATCTCCCCAAAGCTGCATCCACCTGGGGAGTCAGGGGTCTGCAGGGCCAGGCAGGGAGCAGACGCCCCATCCCCACTGCGGGGATGCCTCCGGACACGGCAGGCCCTGGAATTGGCCCTTCTCCCACGCCACCCCCCCCAAGCTGCACTTACATCCCCACGTCGCAGATGATATCCTGAGTGACCGGAGACTCCAAAAGGGCCGCCAGGACCTGGAGCGAATGCAGGAGGGTGTCCGACTCGTAATAATGATCCCAACAGCCGTAGCCGCTGCACAGGAAGGGCGAGAACAGTGAGTGCCTGGGACACAGCAGGTGGGCGTGGGGTGGGCTGGGGCAGGGGCCTGGGGCCAGGCCAGGGCGACCGGGCGAGGGTGCGACTTTGGCACCCGTATCTTTACAAAGCCTCCCAGGAGAGTCTATTGTTCAACTAGAGTTAGACTCACTGCTACAAAAAAGAAGAAAAGAGATGTATTGTGTTGGAAATTAATGGACTGGGCCCCATCCGTCGCTCCTAGTTTCAGTTACTATGAGAAATTTTCTGTCATGTCCAAAACTGTCTGCCCTTGGATTTTTTTAAACCTTCAACGTGGCCCAAATTACACAAATCTACAAGAAAGGGATGCAAAAGAAACAAAGCTGGAAGAAGAATATTCTTTAGGCAAAGGGGCCATGAATAACCATTCAAATGCCACTTACACGGCTACATGACTCTTGCAATTTACTCGAGCTTTCGGCAGGCTGAATGGTGTCCCCAAAAGAGACGTGTCTATGTCTTAACCTCCAGAACTTATGGCGTGCATGTGCATGCTCAGTCGTGTCAAACTCTTTGCAACCCCATGGACTGTCGCCCACCAGGCTCCTCTGTCCATGGGATTCTCCAGGCAAGAATCCTGGAACAGGTTGCCATTTCCTTCTCCAGGTGATCTTCCCAATCCAGGGACTGAACTCCCATCTCCTGCACTGGCAGGCAGATTCTTTACCACTGAGCCACCTGGGAAGCCCTTAGAACCTGTGGATGTGACCTCATTTGGAAAAAGTGTCTTTAGAGATGTGAGTAAGTGAAAAGATCTGGAGAGATGATCCTGGCCTATCCAGGTGGGCCCTAAACCCAACGAGAAGTGTCCTTACACGAGACAGAAGGAAAACCAGCGGAGAAGAGGCAGGGGCGGGGGGCTGGAGGGATGCAGTCATGAGATGAGGAGCTGGGAGTCAGGAGCTGGAAGAGGCAGGAAGGACCCTCCCCTAGAGCCTTGGAGGAAGCAGGACCCTACCCACACCTTGATTTTGGACTTCAGGCCTCCTGAACTGTGAAAAGAATAAATTTCTGCTGTTTTAAACCATCCAGTTTGTGAAACCGCAGTATAACAGCCCCTGAAAAAAACTAATACAATGCTCAGTGAGGTCCCAACATGGGCAGACTGGGTTGAGAGTCATTTTTCAGTGCAGGGGTCCCAGTAATGACATGTAGAATATTTGTAAACTACTTTTTTTTTTTTTAAATATTTATCTAATTATATATTTGACTGTGTAGGGTCTTAGTTGTGACTGTGTAGGGTCTTAGTTGTGGCATGTGCAATCTTCTGTTGCAGCTTGCAGGCTCTAGAGCAAGTGGGCTCAGTAGCTTGGGCACAGGCTTAGTTGCCCTGAGGCATGTGGGATCTTAGTTCTCCAACCAAGGATCAAACCCACATCCCCTGCCTTGGAGGGCAGATTCTTAACCACTGGACCACCAGGGAAGTCCCTGTAAGCTACTTTTAAATCTTCAAAAAGTCCTTCACACTCACTACATAGCAAAAGTGATGTTAAAGTGCCAAGCAAACTTTGCTGACATGAACACTAACCTCCAAACTGGCCTTTGTCATTCTTAATGCCTGGAGGAGCATTCCTCTGGGCCTCTGGTTCTGATGAGGAGGAGAGCCTGGTTCTTAGATGAAAATGAGGTCAGTGAGATGCCCTGTGTGGGATCCAGACCTGGGATGCCCTTTCCTCTCCAAGGACAGACTCCTGCTCAGAGGATGTCACTACCTCAGTTCCTAGGCCAAGTGTGAGACCAAACACCAATGCAAGGCCAGATGTCCAGCCAGCTTTGACATTGGCCCTGGACTGGGAAAAGTCAGCCTCTCTACAATCTCCTGTGTTACTCAACGTAGGAATCCAGGATCACCTAGGCAAGCTGGCCTGCTCTTGTCCAAGGGCATCAAGCAGGCCCACTCACGGGGCTTCTGACTGCCTGCTAGGTGGGCCTACATGTTCAGTTCTCAATCCCAGCCTCTTCTTCCCTGCCCTTTCACTGGGGGGAGCGACACAGTGGCTTCTCCCCGCCCACCCTAGGGCGTCCATGCGCTCTGCTCTCACCAGATTTCCAGTTCTGGTCCAAGCCTGTATCTTGCTCCTCTGTGTTTGGCAATTTCAATACCTACATGCACAGAGAGAGAGAGAGAGAGAGAGAAAGGCAATTTCAGCACCTACAACTGGTCCAAAGGAGGCAGATTCAACCTTCTGCTGCCGCTGGTATCATAAAAAACCAAAGGGCATCTCCCAGCCCCTGCTGACACGCACAGGAAATGAGAGGCGGGGCCTGCAGGGATGAGCCTTAGCATCAAGGAGGAGAGCAGGGTTTGGGCTGGGGGAGTCACACACTGGTATAGCTCATTAACAGTCAGACAGAGAGGACTCCGTGCAGGGAGAAGGCAGGACCTGAAGGCACCAGTGACAGCTACCATTTGCCTCTGGGTTTGAGCAGCAGCTTCCAGATGCAGTCTGGGGAGGAGAGGCTGGCTGAGTGGACACACAATTCTGGCCACCCGAGATGACCTCTCATCAACTAGATTTGCTCTGAGCTCTGACGAGGTAAAAGCAGGTTGAGATTGAAAAAAATAAAAGGAAGAGGGCCCAAGGCACATGGCTGATATAAGACGCCCTCACCTGAATCACCCTGTTTTTACTGTGGTTGGTGGCCCTGCTGCAGGAAGCAACTGAGGATGGCCAGCCTGCAGACCACCCAGGGCAGCCCCATTTCAGGTGTAGAGGTCAACGGTGCAAACTTCCACTCTCAAAGGTGAGCTGGTACAGGTGATAACTACACGGACCCTGTCACACACACACAATGGCCACACCTGGTCTCTAAGCTGGTGGCCTCACCCGTGTTCCACTTCCCTCTCTGGACTGGATTCGGCTCTATATATGCCACATGGGACCCGAGGTACCTTAGGACCGGCTCACTCCAGCCTGCTCATCTCCACCTCCAGGGCCAGACTTTTCTTACCAAGTGTACACACCACATGCCCCAGTCACTGTAACCCACCCCCATCCCCCCCACCTCACTCAGGAGGAGGACCTGGGCACTCGGGCATAGGCGTGGTCATAAGATAGGTTATCTTATCTGTCCTCATACCCATGGCCACGAGTTTCTCCAGAGGAAGGCTGCGTACGCGTCACAGCAAACCTGGTGACCAGAGCTGACCTTCACCTGTCCACCCCACGCCAGCCCTAGACTCACTTTTTAAAATCCTTTGCAAATTGCCCTCAAAGTCCAGGGCCCACTGGTTGAGCGCACAGGTGGCCACGGTCACCTTCCGCCCCATCCTGGCTGCAGACGCCTGGGCAAAAAGGCCGGCCGGATAGTGGGACTTTGTGTCCTGCGGAGAGAGGCGGCCGCGGCTCGGGTCCTTCCGGGTTGTCCCTGCAGGGACAGGCCCGCAAAGATGCAGCGTCTCGCCCCGCCCCTGATGGCCCCGCCCCTCGGGACTAGGCTTCAGAGGCAATGGCGATAGGCCCCGCCCCCGGATCGCCCCGCCCTTCAGGACTGGACTTCAGAGGCAATGGCGATAGGCCCCGCCCCCGGATCGCCCCGCCCTTCAGGACTGGACTTCAGAGGCAATGGCGATAGGCCCCGCCCCCTGATCGCCCCGCCCCGCTGGCGAAGCGAGGCCGGGACTGGACCTCCGAGCCAGCGACGGCAGGCCCCGCCCCCAACCGTCCAGTCCCCGCTCCGCCCCGCCCGTGGAGCTCCTCGCCGCGCCTGCGCGGGGGGAGGCCCGCCGAGCGGCCTGGGGCCGGAGAGAGTCCTCCCTCGGTACCTCTGCCGGCGCCCGCCTGACGCAGACCCAGGCGGGTGGGACCGTCTCCGGGTTCTGGATCGCAGGTGGAAGGGCCGGCCGGCCCGCGTGCCCCCATCCCTCTGTTTCATTCCACACCTCCCCGCAAACTGCGTCTTAACAGTCCTGTAGGAGTCCCCCGCCCCACGTCAGTTACGTTCCTTTTCGTTATTGCTGCGCTTCGGCACTGCGCAGTAGGACTAAAGCACACTTCATCGGTTCATCCCCGACGGGCATTTAAGTGAGCAGCCCCGTGCCAGCACACACGCGCTTGAACATACACGCACTGCTACTTCCGTTCCTATGTTCATCTCCTTGGAGGGCACCTGTAGTTTCTTTGCATCTACGGTTGCCAGTTTCCCCTGGGGCTGCAGCTATCTGCACCTCCCCAGACGCCTGACCTGGGTTATGCATATGTGCAACTTGACTAAATGTTGCCCAATTTCCTCTGTAGCGTTTGAACCTGTTCACTACCAGTAGTTTTTCAGCTTTTGTTTTCACATTTCACCCTTTGGTCCCCTTAGGGGACGAATTCATTTTTTTCCCCCATATGAGCAAGCAGCTGGCTGGCTATCTTTGATAGAATAGGCACTCTTTTCTCCCGGTTTGCAGTGCTGCCTCTCCTATACATACACATTTTTACATTTGAACCAAACTTGTTTCCTATTTATAAAGCTGGACTTGTTCATGATAGACAATTTGGAAATCTCAGAAAAGAATGAAAATGTTTATATGTTCATTCATTTAATTCTAACTTTGACCCTTTGGGGGATAGTTTTCTTTGCCAGAAACTCCTCAGTCCTTTTCAGTTAACTCAAATCTCTCCTGCCAACCATGGCTGCAGATGGTGACTGCAACCATCAAGTTAAAAGACACTTGCTCCTTGGAAGAAAAGCTATGCCCAACCTAGACAGCATATTAAAAACCAGAGACATTACTATGCCAACAAAGTTCCATCTAGTCAAATCTATGTTTTTTCCAATAGTCATGTATGGATGTGAGAGTTGGAGTATAAAGAAAACTGAGGGCTAAAGAACTGATGTTTTTGAACTGTGGTGTTGGAGAAGACTCTTGAGAGTCCCTTGGAGTGAAAGGACATCCAACCAGTCCATCCTAAAGGAAATCAGTCCTGAATATTCATTGGAAGGACTGATGCTGAAATTGAAACTCCAATACTTTGGCCACCTGATGCGAAGAACTGACTCATTTGAAGACTCTGATGCTGGGAAAGATTGAAGGCAGGAGGAGAAAGGGGATGACAGAGGATGAGATAGTTGGATGGCATCACCATGTTGAATGGACATGAGTTTGAGCAAGCTCCACAAGTTGGTGATGGACAGGGAAGCCTGACGTGCTACAGTCCATGGGGTCGCAAGGAGTCGGACACGACTGAGAGACTGAACTGAACCATGGCTGATTCTAGGCCTTAGCCAGGAATGGAGCAAATCCTACAAAGTCGGGTTGGAGTGGAAACTAGGCACATTCTTTCATAATGATGTGAGCATGTTATTTGATAAAGAGAGTTGGTTTGGAGGGGTTCCTACTGGCCAATTATGGGACAATTTGTATATCCAAAGATAATAACTTTTTTTAAAAAAGGTAAATGACAGTTCCTCAATGAGCAAAAAATTTACTAGCCCATACTGACAAAGAACTAAACATGGAAGGGAAATTCTTTACAGAAAAAAATGCCAACTAATCAATCCTGAAAGGATGATGAAGTTAGATCACCCTTTTGCATCAAGAAGTTTGATTTTGGCAAGAGTCATCATTAAATGCTAGATAATTGGACCGAAGGTTATTTGGGAGCAGTGTATTTACACAGTTTCAAAGTATCACTCTACAGCTTATTCATTAATCATGAAAGTGGAGACTTGCCAGAAACCACCTGAACCACAGGATCAAACTCACCATCGACGAAGGGACAAAGTGACATTGTGTTGCCCCCTGCTGTGCTGTATGACATCTATGTAGGATATTATCCTGCCCCCCAGTGCATCACCTAATTGCGAGGGCAGGGACTTCCCTGGTGGTCCAGTGGTTCAGACTCTGGTTTCAACTGCAAGGGGCACAGGTTCCATTCCTAGCTGGGGAACTAAGATCCCGTGTGCTACTCAACATGGCTGGAAAAAAAAAAGGACAAGGAAAACAACCAAACCAAATCAAGAGACTTGCTGTGAAGAAAAGCTAGCCTTGACTCTTCAAAATGGTCAAGGACCAAGAAGATACAGTAAAACAAAACAGAAAGCAGTGCTGGGGCAGAGGTCTAGATTAAGGGAGGCTGAGGAACCAAGATAACTAAATGCACAGTGTGGTTCCCCAATTGGATCCTGGATTTTTAAAATGAGCTATAAAGGACATATGGGCTTCCCTGATAGCTCAGTTGGTGAAGAATCCACCTGCAGTACGGGAGACTCTGGTTTGATTCCTGGGTCAGGAAGATCCGCTGGAGAAGGGAAAGGCTGCCCACTCCAATATTCTTCGGCTTCCCCTGTGGCTCAGCTGGTAAAGAATCTGCCCGCAATGTGGGAGACCTGGGTTCCATCTCTGGGTTAGGAAGATCTCCTGGAGAAGGGAAAGGCTACCCACTCCAGTATTCTGGCCTGGAGAATTCCATGCACTGTATAGTTCATGGGGTCACAAAGAGTTGGACACAACTGAGCAATTTTCACTTTTTCATAAAGGATATGATTGGGACAATTGGAGGAAACTGAATATGAGTAATATATCAGACAATAGCATTGAATGAATGCTACATTTCCAGAGTATGGCCACTTTATTTTGATAATGTAGGAGGATGTCCTTGTTATTAGGAGATGGATACTGAAATATTCAGGAAGGAGGTATCATCTATAGCTAATTAGTGTTTCAGGGAAAATACACACAGCTACAGGAAGGCAGAGAGAAATTAAATGTGGCAAACTGTTGACAGCTGCTGAATCTAGGTATGTGGGTGTTCACTTTACTATTTATTCAACTGGTTTGCATGTTTGACATTTTCAAAATAAAAAACTGCAGAGGGAACAAATGTTTCCATGAGGGAGACAGAAACGCCCATGCAGACCCCTCTGGCAGAAAGGCTGATGCCCAGATATTGCAAATGGAGCTGCCCCTTGCCACCAGACGCTGTCTGGGTTCCGCAGTCATCCAGGTCGAGGTCATGCCCTTGCAAAAGTAGCCTGTGTACCATGATTGAGGGAGACAGGGGTATATGAGAGAGGGTTGGCCACTCCTGCTGTCAACAGAAATAATAAACGAATCTATAATAGGAATAGAAGAGTTTTATTTGAGCCAAATAAAGGATTATAGCCTAGGAGACTCTGATTCGAGAAGCAATTAAAACTACAAAGTGGGGGATGGTTATAAAGTCAAAACCCCACAAAATGATGAAAGCTATTTGTCAGTAATTGTAATCTCAATTGGCAAGAGGTAAGTATGTTTCTTAAGCAAGGATTATTGGAGTCCAAAATGGTTGCCTAATGACAAGAGGAGACCTCGAGTCTTTGAAGTTTGCTGCTGGCAGCTGGCAGATGGCTGTTCGGAGACTTAGCTGGTGGTGTCCTTGAGGGTGATAAAGTTCAGGAAACTCGAGTTCTCAGTGACGCAGAAACAGGTCTGAGACCCAGTCCACAGTGGTCATCCAGATCCATTTCAAATGCCTGAACCGTAATTCTTTCCTTTTGATTTTTTTAAACGACCTTCTTTGTTTTGAATGGTTAAAGCGGATGTAGAACGCCCTGTTTAATAGGCCACAGACAGGTGTTTTTGGTGAGCCTACAGTCGGGTTGACTCAGGGCTGGAATGAATGCCCCAGTCCTTGCCATGTGAACCAGGTGACCACTCCGCGGGCCTCTCTTATTAGGGGGCTTCCCCACGTGGTTGACCTAAGCTGCAGCCCCCCACCCCCGCCCCCCATCCCTCATTCAAATTCTCCCTCTGCCCAACCCTGCTACTTCCTGCCCTCTGGGCGGCCCTGCGCAGCTGATCGGTACCCTGAACTCCATCACTGGCCCCCTTCCAGGCGAGCCCTCGCCTGTGATGGCCTTCCAGCCGAGAGCTCTCCGAATAAAACTGCAACCTGCACGCCCTGCTTCAGTCTCCTCCACACCAGTTTTCACCATATTCCTCAATGACGGTTTGTTTACTGATCCCGCTTCCCCCGTATCCCCTCCCCCTATGTGCACCCCAAGGGCAGCGATCTTGTCTGTTTCGTGGGTTGATGTGGACCCCACTGGCAGAAGAGGAAACAGGCTGGGGAGCTCAGCGGCCTGCCCACGACCGCGGCTGGGGACGCGCCCCCCAGCTTGGGCCGCGCTCCCGGGGCCCCCGGGGCCCGCCCCCGCCGGCAGGCAGCGCGAGGGGCAGGCCCTCGGCTGTCAGTCTCGCGCCCAATGGCTGCCGAGTGGAGCGCGCGGTGGCCCGGAGTCAGCCCACGGGGTGGGGCGAGGCGCCGCGGCCAATCGCCGGGCCCGAGGGGCGCCGGGTCGCGCGGAGCCCGTCTGCGATTGGCCGCCTGTCTCTACACCTCATCGTGGGGACCCAGCGGCCATCGGCTCAGACCGCGCGGGTCAGAGCTGGCACGGAGCCGGGTGCGCAGGTGAGCAGGACCGCGGCGCCGGTGTGGGCTGCGCGCAGGTGGGTGCGCGCAGGGGGCGGATGGACAGATGGGGGGGGGGGCGCGCAGGCCGGGGGTGGGCTGGGCGTGGAGGGCGGCGGGTGATCGGCGTAGGAGCAGTCGCATGGGCAGGGGGCGCGTGCGTGCGTGCGAGCAAAGTCTGGAGGTCTCGGGGCGCGGGTTGGCCACCCGAAGGCGGCCCTTTGGGGATGCTAGTCCCCCCGGCGGTGGTCCGGAGCTCGCTGGGCGAGCCGAGACGAGGCGGAGCTCGGTGAGTGCCTCTTGGGCCGGGGGGACCGCTTCCTTCCTCGCGTGCCCCGCGCGAGTGGATGCAGTTTTCTCTTGAGGAAACATGGACCATCTGTCTGCTCCCTGAGAAGCGGGGAACCGGGAGCAGCGGACTCTGAATTGCTTCTGAAATGAAATGAAGTCGCTCAGTCGTGTCCGACTCTTTGCGACCCCGTGGACTGTAGCCTACCAGGTTCCTCCGTCCATGGGATTTTCCAGGCAAGAATACTGGAGTGGGTTGCCATTTCCTTCTTCAGGAGATCTTCCCAACCCAGGGATTGAACCCCAGTCTCCCGCGTTGTAGGCAGACGCTTTACCGTCTGGGCCACCAGGAAAGTCACAGAATTGCTTCTAGGAATAGACTAATTGCAGGGGGCTGGAGGGTGGGGGTCAGCCCGGCCTGCAGTGCAGGAAGTTAGTTGCTCTCAAAAGACCAAAGCTGCCCTCCTTCTCTCCCAGCGTTCCTCACTAACTTAACTGACGGAGTAGTATTGCCTTTCTTGGACATTTTATAATTTTAGGGAAAAGGTTTTTAAGAGTAGGAATTGCTCTGGTGAGATTTCAGACAAAAAGAGAACAGAGGGAGGAAAACTGCAAATGAGGAGATCATGTTTATCAAAAGTGGTGTTTCCTGAATGTCTGGCACTGTGCTGGGTTTTCAGAACACCCTGCATTCTAGACATCGCTCCATCTTACAGATGAGAAGACTGAGGCTCCCCAGAGGTGCAGTGACATGTGGAGAGTCGTGTACTTACCGACATAGCCATGGTTCAAACTCAGAGATACTGGCAACAGACTGGTTTGGAGGGAGGAGTCCTCAGGGCACTGCCTGCATTTACTGGGGGGGTGGGGGGTGGATGGGCAGGTGAACAATTCCAGGTGCCTTGAAAGGCCCCAGGAAGACCAGAGGAACAGGCCTGAGGGGGTGGAGTTACCCCACCTGCAGGACACTCTCCACTGAAAAACCAGGATGGTTTCCCAGGCAAAAACCCAGAAACAACCATGCAGTTACTTCTTACAATAATTCTCATAAAAATCCTTGTGTATACCTACTGCTTAAAAAAAAAAGTTACGGATTTATGTAGTAGATCTACTAAGATTAGAAAGAGCCAAGAAGTGAAGTTGCAAAAGAATTTGGAGGTAAACTAATTTGGGGAGGAAAAGAAGGAGGGAGAGTGGGTGTGTATGGAGTGACAAGTAGCTTGCGTGACAATCTGGAGAATAAGCAGCAAAGTTCAGGGACTCCTGCGGCTGGACTGAGGGGACTTGCACTTTTTTAAGAAATAATTTTGATTCTTTATTTCTGGCTCTGCTGGGACTTTGTGGCTTCACTCTGTGGCTTTCTCTGGTGGCAGCGAGTGGGGGCTACTCTTTCGTTGCCCTGCACAGGCTTCTCATCGCGCAGCTTCTCGTGTTGTGGAGCACGGGCTGGAGGGTGCTTGGGCTTCAGTAGATGTGCACCATCAACATCCCAACGCAGGCTCAGTTGCTCCAAGGCATGCGGGATCGTCCTGGATCAGGGACTGGGCCTGCATCTCCTGCCGTGGCTGGACTTCCTGAGCCACCAGGGAAGCCCCTGGCTTGGCCGTTTGGCTTCTCAATGCAATTGTGTTACAGGGGGCATGTATGTTGCCACTTTTGAGAAACAGAAACCCTTGCATCTGCAGTCAAACCTGCAGTTTACCCTTTATAATTCAGAGAGTTAGAATTAGGACTTGGTGTTTCTGGAATTTCCTTCCAGGGCTCTTGCCTGTTTCTGGAGGCGCCAGAAGGGCCCCGGGCGTGGGTTGCTCTGCCCCAACCAGGACCTTAGCCCTCTCCATGGCAGTCAGGCCAGAGCTCCCCAGGGCCACACTCTGGGAAGGGTCAAGAGCCATCTCTGCATTTGGCAACCGAGGCTCGCGAATTGCACGTGCAGGTGAGGGCATGACCATCCCATCCGAAGTGGGTGGGAGGGTGTGAAAAAGCTGCAGGTAAACTCAAGTGTCACCCCGCACATCACTGCCCCCTGCTTTCAGGACCGATGACCTCCCTGCCCCCGGAGAGAGCCACAAGTCTTCCCGGAACTGTGGATTTAAGGACTCCAAGAGCTATTTCAACAGCTCTTTTTATTGTTAAATTGTTTTGTAACACAAGTACATGTCTGCTAGAAAAATCAGGAAAAGGGGCTGGGGGAGCCCACGTGGCGTCCCGCACCATTGAGGATTTTGGTGTATGGCTTTAAAACATTATGTGCCTCAGCAGGTCTTAGCTGCAGCATGTGGGATCTCGTTCCCCGACTAGGGCTTGAACCTCAGCCCCCTGCTTTGGGAGTACAGAGTCTTAGCCACTGGATCAGAATGAGTTTCTGAATAGCTTTTTAGTGATAGATTGTCTTACAGCTCGCCCTTGTGCTGGTACATACCAAGGAACCTTCTTCCATGTTATTAACCTCATTCTTCGTAACAGCTGCTGCATCCTCCGCTTTCCCAGGGCGTCGTTGTTTTCCCATCGCCTTACTGATAGTCATCTTCTCATCTCCAATATGTGGCAAGTGCTCCAGAATGAAAGTTCTTGCGTCTGCCTTTTCACATGGCCGTCTATTTATGTCCCTGGATGAATTCCGACAGGTGGCGACTGAGCTAGCCTGAAGGTCTAGGAACTGGCCAGAGGTCCTGGCCTCTGGAACTGTCCTCCAGTTGAAGAGTAGCTGCCCAGCCCTCACTGGGCCTGAATTCTCTCCTTCCTTTAAGTACAAGTTAGGGCACATCTGTCCTTTTACCTGTCTCTTACTCCTTAAACGGGCACATTTCTAGAACAGAACCTCTGCAGTTCAATAATGTTCCAGCTGCTTCTCTATGTATGTTAGGGTAGTACCGAGCCCAACACTCACAAAGATTGACTGTTGTCATCACTACTCTGAATTTACTATTATTATTATTTTTGTCTTGGCTGTGCTGGGTCTTCGTTGCTGTGTGCAGGCTTTCCCCTGCTTGTGGCAAAAGCGGGGCCTACGCTTTGCTGCGGTGCGTGAGCTCCTCATTTCGGGGGCTTCTCGTCGTAGAGCGTGGCTTCAGGGGTCGTGGTGCAGGGACTCTGTCGCTCTGTGGCAGGTGGGCTCCCCTGGGACCAGGAATCAAACCGGTGTCCCTTGCATTGCGAGGCAGCCTCTTAACCCCTGGGCCGCCAGGGAAGCCCCACTACTCTGGATTTCACTCCTTAGCCTCCCAAGTGTGTCACAGGAGGTGGCGTGCCCACCAACCCAGCTCCATCCCCATAGGTCCGTGCCAGCTGCCTTCTCCACTTTCCTTGCCTCAACTTCTCCATCTGTAAAAGTGGGCCCAATAACGGCAACTCTCCAGAGTGGGGTGGGAATTCTGTGGGCTCACAGGTGTCTGCAGCTTGATAGATCCCCAGCGAATAGTGGCCCCCTGTGGCTGCCTGCGTCACCCAGGGATGGCCCCGACAGTATCTCGTGCTCCCCTGATACCTTACTGCTCCCCCATCAAGAGTCAGAGCCTGCTTCCCCTCCCCTTGAAAGGTGGTGGGCTTCTGACTCAGTGTGGCCAACATAACGCCCTGGGAGTGATGTCACATGCCTTCCCATGAAGAAAAGGCAGCTTGGGCACCTCTCGCCTCCTCCCTGAGGCCTCCATGCTGGGAGGAAGCCCAAGCTCCACCCGCACCATCACATCCCAGGCTGGAGCTAACCTAGCCAGCCTCCCCAGATCCCCGACCCACAGAAACACTGAAAGAGGACAAAAGATGGTTTGGTTTGGTTTTTGACCGCACCACTTGTGGAATCTTAGTCCCCTAATCAGGGGCTGAACCCAAGCCCTCAGCAGTGAAAGTGCAGAGTCCTAACCACTGGACGGCCAGGAGAGTCTCAAAAGACTGTTGTTTTCAGCCTCTGCATTGAGAAGAGACGAGTTGTGTGGAGGGCAGCAGGATGCTTCAGGGTTGGGCATTGCAGGGGCATTCGCCTTAGACCTCTGCCAGGCTGAGCTTCACCCCAACGCCCTGTGTGAGCCCACCTTCCTGAGGCCTGTGTGGTGCTGGCGGCGGTCTTGGCAGTGGCTGCCTTTCTGGAAAGAACTCCGATGGGGCTTGAGAGGGGTTCTGAGCACCTGGCCCTGGGACCTCATTTATCCCACAGAGTGGATTACTTAGTAGATGAGGAAACTCAGGCTAGCGAGTAAAGTAGCTGCTCACAGTCACCCACTTTGAGTTCCAAGTGGGAACATGTTGGCAGCAGGACGTGATCCTGCAGGGAACTTGCAGCCTTACCAGTGACATCCGGGCCTCCTGAGCATCACTGTGCCATCCCACCTCTGCCGTGCTTCTGCATCTCAGATGCCTCTCCAAACACCAAACCCTCAAGATGCCAAAAGGGCTGCCACAGGACTTAAGCCATCTGTTGCATGGGTCCTGGGCTGTTGATGGTGGTGTTCTCAGCAAGGAACGCTGAAGGCACTCGCCTGGCCTGCTTAACTGTGAAGACACCGCTCCCCCTGGGACTATGTACTGGCCAGACCGGCCCTTGCGGTTCTTATGATTGCAGGACAACTTCAGCAAAGCCAAAGAACAAGGTTTATTACTCACAGGTCCTGTGGGTACTTGCCTGCCTGCATCCACTCAGCCAAACTGTAGGTGGAAAGAGGATGAGTGTGTGGGCCTGGAGCCCTGCCTTCACGAGGGCATGAGAGTGGAGTGTTTAGAGTTTCACGGGCTCACTCTTTTAAAAAATTTTTTGTTTATTTTTAAATGGAAGATAAGAGCTTTACAGTAGTATTGATATCTGCCATACATCAATATGAATCAACCATAGGCATACATATGTCTGCTACCTCCCACCTCCATGAACCTATTTGCAGGGCAGCAGTGGAGACACTAGTCATGCATGGATGTGAGATCTGGACCATAAAGAAGGCTGAGCACCAAAGAATTGATGCTTTCAAATTGTAATGCTGGAGAACACTCTTGAGAGTCCCTTGGACTGCAAGGAGATCAAATCACTCAATCCTAAAGGAAATCAACCCTGAATATCCATTGGAAGGACTGATACTGAAGTCGAAGCTCCAATACTTTGACCACCCTATGCCAAGAGCCGACTCATTGGAAAACACCTTGATGCTGGGAAAGGTTGAGGGCAAAAGGAAAGGGGGTGACAGAAGATGAGATGATTGGATGGCATCATCGACTCAATGGACATGAGTTTGAACAAACTCTGGGAGATGGTGAAGGACTGGGAAGCCCAGCAGGCTGCAGTCCATGGGGTCGCCTGTGGAGCTCAAAATGCGGCCCGGGGAGCTGACCAGGGTGCCGAAAAGCCCCATGCTATTCCCTGGCTCCTCCCTGCGTGTGTGTGTGTGTGTGTGTGTGTGTGTGTGTGTGTAGGCTTTGAAGTCCCAAGACACTCGGGAAGGTCACTGGGTCCAGGAAGTCTGCAGAGAACCAGGCTCCAAGCCCAGATCACTGTCTATGATGCCCTGTATTCATGGCACTCAGTGGTTCTGGGAATGCCTAGGGGGAAGATGCATGCTTGGGGGCAGGGGTGGGGCTGGGGGTGGGGGTGGAGTGGGCAGGGTGGGACTTGATCCAGGTCGATGGTACAGACATTCCAGGGGCGTGTGCGCTGCCCCGTGTGAGTCTGCAAAGAAGCCAACTTGGGCTGTTCCTCAGTCCACCTTGTTGAGGCTCGTCTCCAGGGCGACTCCTCCAGGAAGCACCCCCACATCCAGCCCCACCCGTTGTTTATAAGTGCTTCCTCCATGGCAGACGTGTGTGCCAGGCAGAGAAGCTACAAGATGAGATTGCCTTATCCTGGAGATCCCCACCCATGGGGACTCTTGTACTTTCAAACCCTGGGTGCTGAGCCATTACCAGGCGGGACTTGGGAAAATTATCATTTGGGTCCTTGTCTCCCTGAGTCTTCGTGTGCCCTGCAGGACTTTGTTCAGCGGGTTGAAAAGGATCTCGCAGGCCTGTGGAGCGTAAGAGCCTAGAGAGTTGAAAGGGGACAGTGCAAGAAGGGAAACCCACATTCCGCAGTGGAGCCGCTCGGCAAGAGGTTGGAGGTAAGCCTCAGCGCCGCTGCTCGTTTTCAAAGGCAGCTGGTCCATCAGTGCTCAGTGTCGATTCCTGCCTGACTCTTAGGGAAAAAGTTAATTACTTCCTGGACACCACCCTCTCCCCTATTTTCAGCCATCTGCTGCCAAGGGTGTCCCTTCTACGTTCGTTAAAAATTCAGTGCTTATGACAGAGAGGCGCAGGGATGGTTCAGTGGTAGACTTCTCACCTGCCACGAGGGAGGGCCACGTTCATTCCCGCCCCCCCCCGCCCCGTGCAGCCACAGCGTTCCCTTTCTAGGCTTCCCTTGTGGCTCAGGCGGTAAAGAATCCGCTTAAACAGTGCAGGAGACCCAGGTTTGACCCCTGGGTCAGCTGGATCCCTTGGAGAAGGGAATGGCTATCCACTTCGCTATTCTTGCCTGGGAAATCCCATGCACAGAGGAGCCTGGCGGGCTACAGTCCAAGGGGTGGCAGAGAGTCAGACACGGCTAAGCAGCTCACACACACATGACCGAGAGGTGAATGAAGGCCACTACAAGCTCAAAATAATTATGTGGGCTTGTTTTAATCCTTAGAAAATATGCTTTTGGTGTTCCAAAGTTAGCTCTTAGCCTATACTGTTCTGGCCCTTTTGCAGTTTTCCAGCACGTTAGATCAGAGTAACTGCCACGTACCAGGCTCAAAATTCTGCGTTTTGGGCTGTAAACATGAGTGGCCCTCTGTCCGTAAAGAGCTCTTTGGTCTGCCTTGTACGTCATAAATGCTCCATAAACCAACCTGTGAAAATAAAGTGATTGCTGCAGTTTTCATCACTGAAAAATTTTAAGTGAATGTACAGTTGTATTACAGTGATTCATCTTCACATTTAAAATAAAACCAGCATTAAAAGACTTATATATAAAAAATAAACAGTTCCCTACGTCATCTTAGAGTCTCACTTCCCAGAAGCAAATGCTTTTTCATTTTCTGAGCTACTTTTGTGTTGTTTTTTACCTGCTTATTTCTAAATGATTTCCTTTTAGCACCCTCAACTTTACACATTTTTTTTCTGTCTGGAAAAATTATTATTTACTGTTAAGCCATGTAATGTACTATAATTATGGTTTGGTGTTTTTCCCCTTATATGGCTTTTTATTTATTTATGTATTTGGAGTTAGTGGTTGCCTCACTTTTTCCATATGCTAAGTTTTCTATATATCTGTTACTAATTGTTTTTCCTGCATGTTATGACAGAGCCATCATCAGTAATTTTTGTGTGCTCTCCAACACAACAAAATGTATTATTTTCATTCCCTGCTCCCCCCGCCCCTGGCCCAAAGTCATCCATCTTGTGCCATTGTGGACCAGTTACTGTCTGGTCCACTGCCCAGCTATTATCTTGGGATTTCCTCTTGTTCTTTCACTGGCCTTTTCTTTAGCAGCTGAAGTTTCCCTCAGAATATTTGAAGTTTTCCATCTTGTCTTCTAGAACCAGCTTGCTACTAGCACGATTCTTAATCCTGGATTTTTTCTGGAAGCATTTAAGATCATCTTTTTTTCATGCCTGATATTTTTAAACGTCACCATTGTGAGCTCATTCTGGAAGTCGGGGTGTCACTGCTTCCCTCATATTATGACCATGGGTTGGCTTGTCTCTTGGTACAAGATGAATGGCTATGGGTGGGAAGGAGGAATGGAAATGATAAATTGTGTTGGAATATGTAGAAGAGTTATTAATGTGTATGAGAGCTCATTAGAGCATTCAGAAAAAAAAAAATTAGTGATAGATGCATAGAAATCTTAGCGAATGGAAAAAGTGAGGCAACCATTAATTCCAGGAAGAATAAAAAGTCATACTGAGGAGGGAACATTTTATGAGACCCAGATAAGACCGGTAAAGCGTGTTCTAAGCAGAGAAGCAGCAGGTATCATGCATAAGATAAATCACATTCATGGACGGATAGAGCCGTCTGTGTGCCTGGAGCAGTGGGTATGATGGGAGCGTGTGGGGGAGGGGAGGCAGGAGCATGTGGTGGGAGGTTTCTGAGCCACAGGTATTTGGGTTTCTGTAACAAGAAGGATGTTCTGCTGTTGTTGGGAAATCAACTGAGATAAGATCACAAGTAGGGCCAGGTGGGAGGCTATTGCAGGTTCCGGGAGTGGGAGTCCCTGCCTGGAATCACCCGTCCAGGACAAGGTGGAGAGTCTGAATGAAGGAGTCCAGCCCCGCGGAGGCCTGTGAATGACGGCAGGGGGCTGCAGTGTCCGTTTGTCAGGGGATGACCTCAGCGTGGCTTCTCCTCCCCTCAGGGCCCGATGGCTGCGAAGTCCCAGCCCAGCGTCCCTAAAGCCAAGAGTGCCAGCGGCATCACCAACGGCAAGGCTGCAGCCCAAGGGCAGTGGGGCCGCGCCTGGTAAGCTTCCCACCGCCTTCCCGGCTGGAAAGTAAAGGGGGCTCTCGGCGAGAGGCTGCCAGCCTTTGGGATTTCAGGAGCCTGTGAAAGCGATTCTTTTTATCAGCAGGACTGTCATTAGTAGCAGTTTGCCAGTTTAGAAAGTTAGGAACCCAAAGAAGAAGCTACCGTAAAAGCCGCCGTCAGGGACGGCAGGTGTCCTGGTCTGCCCTCAGCGTGTAAGACACGGGGCATGGGGACTTGGTGAGGGTCCCGGATGGCCCAGAACAGGAAGCCTCTGGACCCGTGGGGTGTGGGAGGCCTTCTGTGCTTGGTCCTGGGCCCCGGGCTTTCTGGGGTGCCCGTGGGCCCGTCGGCCTTCAGACTGCTCCAAGCGGAGCGTGCGAGTGGGGTGCCTTGCCTACGCGGTGGGGGCCTTGGCCCTGCGAGCCGACAGCCTCCTCTCGGGAGGCGCTGGCTGGTGTGCCCGCGTGTGAGGTCAGGGGGCCGGGCCGCCCCCGTGACCTGCTGCCGTCCGTCGGCCCACAGGGAGGTGGACTGGTTCTCCCTGGCGAGCGTCATCTTCCTGCTGCTGTTCGCGCCCTTCATCGTCTACTACTTCATCATGGCCTGCGACCAGTACAGCTGCTCCCTGACGGCGCCCGTGGTGGACCTTGCCGCCGGGCGGGCTCGGCTCGCGGACATCTGGGCCAGGACGCCGCCCGTGACCGCGAAGGCGGCCCAGATCTACGCGGCGTGGGTCACGCTCCAGGTCAGCCCTCCTGGCCCCCGCGGTGGGGACTCAGCCTGCACGCATGTCCCCTCCTCGAGGTGGGCCTGGCCCCTGGTTGGGGATGGCATCCGGCTCACAGTGACATCCTTATTCCTGGGACCCAGCCAGGCCTCACCCGCCGCCTGACGGACTTAGCTTTGTCTTCAGCTCAAGGACCACCGGGTGACATCTCAGTGTCCGGCTCGCCTTCCATTGAGCCTCTGTGCTGAGCAGAGAGCGACACCACCTGGGAGAGTGTGAGGGCGTGGCTCCCGCCCCGGAAGCCATGTGCACAATGGGAAGCATGGCCTAGGATTGCCCAGCTCCTAAGAGCTGCTCTTGGTCTTGGCCAAGCCAAGGCCATGTCCCCAGAGGTGGTCACACAGGCCTGGCCAACGAGGGGGGCGTGGCCTTGGCTCTGCTGTGACCTCACTAGCTTCCTAATCAGGAGTTCATCAGAAGGCTGTCTGCACCATGAACTTGGTGAACAGGGAGTGTTTATTATCTGAACAGACAGGATTTAGTTTCTGAATATTAATGATGATGCTATCGTTATCCTGGGAAATGGTGCAGGGAGGTGCCCCCTGCCCACCCCAGCCCCCTGGGGTTTCCTGGGCTCTGACCTCTGCTAGCTGTTTCTCCCTGCGATCCCGGCTTTTGGGCTTCAGCTTCCCTCTCATTTCAGGCCTCTTGGTCCTTTTGAGTAAAAGGTGATTTGGAGCCGCGAGAGGCACAGTAGCCTAAAGGCAGAAACAGTCCACGTGTGCATCGACAGACGTGGACACACATGTAGTGTGATCCAACCACGCAGGGCAGTGTTGTTCTCATGGAAAGGGGTGAGGGTCTGACACAGGCTGCAGCCTGGTGCCCTGAGAACTTGGTGTTCAGTGAGAGAGGTCGGCTCCGCAGGGGCGTGTCCTGCCTGATTCTGTTTACATGCGAAGTCCAGGACAGGCAGATCCAGAGACAGAAAGTGCACCGGTGGTTGTCAGAGGCTGGCAGGGAGGGGCCGCTGGGAGGGACTGCCAGGGGGTGTGGGGCTCCTCTTCGGGGTGATAAGAATGTTCTGGAATTGGCCACTGGGAGCAGTGGCACGAGCTCGGGAATACACTGAGCTCTTTCAGTGAACACTTTTCAAGGGTGAACTATGGAATGTAAGCCAGTGGGCTCTCCCAAAGGGAGTGGCTGAGCCCCGTGAGCAGACGACATGGGTGTTCTGACCGGTGGTGACGCGTTTCCTGTTCAGGGCTCCCTTCAAAGCCCGCAGTCAGCCTGCGGTCAGCGTTCCCAGAGCCATAAGCTCTTCTGGAAGAAGTAACCAGCCACGATCATGGTTTCTCCCACTCGTGCGGTGCCTGCACACTCGTCGTCTCAACTGAGAAAGCACAGCCGTGTCGAGGCACAGCCAGGCCCCGCAGCCCACGGGGAAACCAGCTGAAACATCTCTGCGTTTCAGGTGCTTCTGTACATGCTGCTTCCTGACTTCTGCCACAAGTTTCTGCCGGGCTACGTGGGGGGCGTGCAGGAGGGCGCCGTGACTCCCACAGGTAACCCAGGGCCGCCCCGCTCGCCCACGTGCCGCCTTTCCCTGTCCATCCTCTTACGGGGCCTGACCCCCACCCACCCCGCCAACACACACACACACACACACAGCTTCCAGGGACGGCCGCCAGAGGTGAGATCAGAAATCACATTCCCAACCAGGGACCGAAATAGCCCCCGCTTCCTGCCGGTCATGTGGCTGGGCTCGGGAGCATCTTCCCGGCAGGGACACTTGGAGCACCCCAGGGGCATCGCGGGGCCCAAGCTTTGACTTAAGGGCCTTAGGGCCGCCTGGTCCATTCATTCCCCGTAGTCACTGAGACCCTGGCCCAACCCACAGAGAGCTCTTGGCTACCCTCCCCTCACCCCAGCTCCACCAGGAGCCACAGGGGACCCTTGTCCCTTCTGCTGTGGCTCCAGCTTCCGGCAAACTGCAGGCTGGTGACTCAGCCTCGGGCCAGCTATAGACGTCCTGCGCCCTCTCTCCCACTCTTAGGGATTCAGCCAGCACGCGCGGTTAGTCCCCAGCTCCCAGTGTGAGGTGTGCTGCCGGCGTGTCGGCCCTGAGTGCCTGAATGGCACCAGCCACTGACTGGCTCTGGGGCTGGGGTCTGGGGGCCCCAGAAAGGAGCCGGGAGCAGGTACAGCGGGCAGACGGCCCCGCTCTCGCGTCTCCCCTCTGCAGGAGCCGTCAACAAGTACGAGGTCAATGGCCTGCAGGCGTGGCTTCTCACGCACCTCCTGTGGTTTGCCAATGCCCACCTCCTCTCCTGGTTCTCTCCCACCATCATCTTCGACAACTGGATCCCACTGCTCTGGTGTGCCAACATCCTGGGCTACACCGTCTCCACCTTCGCCATGGTCAAGGGCTACCTCTTCCCCACCGATGCCCGGGAATGGTATGTTCTCAGCGGCTGCGTGAGCCCTAGGTGGCGGGTCAGTGCCTTTTTCTGGGACATTGGGTTAGGACATTGCAGAAGCCTGAGGATTGAGCATCCTTGAGGAGGAGCTCAAGAGACCGCAATGGACTCTGGGGGGCATCCGTATTGAATGGGTGGCTTCTCCTGCCTTGGGGAGGATGCAGTTGAAGGTGGCCAAGTCTATCTTTGGTAGCTGAGTTATCTCCAGCAGGGCCATAGGGAAGAAGGAGGGCGGGAGAGGCAACGCCTTCTTGCAGGCAGGAGCAGCCCATTCCCTCTTTCTGTGAAACGTCAGTGCGGCCTGAAGCAGTCTTAGTGAGAAGTCTTGTTACCTCGGTGGCTTTAATGTAATAGCTTCCCAGGAAGAGCCTGACTGATTGGTGTCCATTCTCATGGAGCCTTGGGTGAGATAGTTATCAACCATCCACCTACCCATTTCTTCATACACCCGTATATCCAATTCTTCATGCATTCATCCACCACCCACCCATCCATTTATCCATCGTCCATCCAGCACATCCACTCATCCATTCATCTGTTCATCTACCCGTCCAACCACCCATCCCTCTATCCATCCAGCACATCCATCCAACCATCCATCCATCTCTTCATACATCCATATATCCATTCTTCATCCATTCTTCCACCACCCACCCATCCGTTTATCCATCCGTCCATCCAACACATCCACTCATCCATTCATCCGTTCATCCGTCCATCCAACACATCCATCCAACCATCCACCCATCCACTCATCCATCTAGCCACCCATCCAACCATCCACCCATCCACTCATCCATCCAGCCACCCATCCAACACATCCATCCAACCATCCACTCATCCACCCATCTACCCATCCAAGCCCCCATCCATCTATCCATCCAACACATCCATTCAACCATCTACCCATCCACTCATCCACCCATCTAGCCAGCATCCATCTATCCATCTATCCATTCGTACCACATCCCCTGTCCCTCCCTCCCTGTCTCCCTGTATCCATCCATTCACCCAGCCATCCATTCATCTATCCATGCATCTACTCATCCCTCCTTCTCTCCCTCCCCGCCTCCTTCCATGGACACATTCATCAAGAGATGTTTGTTGGGTCCCTCCTGTAGACAGGTGTAGGCAATGATTCTTGTTCTCGGGGTGATTGCATTTTAGTTTTGGTTCCAGATGAAAGCAAAGTGTGCTTCCTTTAACTGTTACCCCTAGGCTCTTAGGAAGCACGTTTGGATTATGGCACTTTGAGCTTGTGTGATGAGCAAGTAACGAGGCCGGTCTTCTACACCTTGTGGAAATCATTTTCTCTGCTTTATAATCACACCCCCTATTGTAGACTTTGTATATTTTGCTTCTTTCTGCTTATCCTAGTTGAGGGAAATGGACATGACAATATATTTCCCTAACTAACAGAGAAATCCCCGTGTATGTGCAGCAGGTGGTAGAGCAAGTCTCCAGCTGGGTTACCCTGGCTGACTCTCTGCTCACTCCTCTGGTCAGGTGATGAGGGCAGCAAAGCATTTAAAATTTGCCCAGCAAGGCATGGATGTGGGCCCTGGAGCTGGGCACCTGGTTCTGAGACTGGCGCTGTTTTTGATGTCTACCTCGGCATCATTTATAACCCTGCTTGCCCACGGGGGCCCAAATGCTCTATGAGTCATTCAGAATAAAGTCTCTGTCCAGCCGAGCCAGTTGGGCAGCTCGCCTTTGGGGAGCCTGGAGGTGGGAGGGAGGATCCTGGGCACCTGCCCAGGTTACAGTCTCCCTACCTTCATTACAACAAAGTGAGCCTCTCAGCTTGAGGCTGGGGCTGAATGCGGAGTGAAGTGTCACGGCTGTCGGAGAGGGGCCCGAGGCTGACGTGGCCTCCGCGTGCTGGGTCCTTGCAGTTCACGGCAGGCCTCCCCCAGGTCTTCTCTCTTGGGCCTGCAGTACCCAGGCTGGGCTGAGCACCTGAGCACCAGCCAAGGAGGCTGCTTGTGAGAGGCACTCGCTGACAGCATGCATCTGTCGTTTGTGTTTTCAAGCAAATTCACAGGCAATTTCTTTTACAACTACATGATGGGCGTTGAGTTTAACCCCCGAATTGGGAAGTGGTTTGACTTCAAGCTCTTCTTCAATGGGCGCCCTGGGATCGTCGCCTGGACCCTCATCAACCTGTCCTTTGCAGCCAAGCAGCAGGAGCTCTATGGCCATGTGACCAACTCCATGGTCTTAGTCAACGTCCTGCAGGTAGCCTGCTTGTGGCCTGGGTCAGGGGTTGTGGGCTCTGACACCAGCTGGGTGCTGGGGAAACCCGAAAGCCAGATAGCTTTCAAAAGACAGTAAGAAATATTAGTCGCTCAATCGTGTCTGACTCTGAGACCCCATGGACTGCATAGCCCACCAGGCTCCTCTGTCCATGGACTTCTCCAGGCAAGAATGCTGGACTGGGTAGCCATGCCCTCCTCCAAGGGCTCTTCCCAGCCCAGGGACTGAATGAACCCCGGACTCCCGCATTGCAGGCAGCTTCTTTACCATCTGAGCCACCTGGGAAGTCTCTTGAAAGACTGTAATCTGCGCCTTTCGAAGGGAGTTGGCACCTTCGCACGTGTCTGGGAGGCTGGCAGCGGAGTGGGAGGCGAGGGAGTCGTGTCCTCACCTGTCAGACACTGCTCTGGCCCCGGGGACTCGCGTAGCCCACGGCAAACTCCTGTTTGCTGCTCAGGTGTGTCAGTGGTCCTGGCAACACAGCTCTGACGGCTGTGGAAGGACCCCGTCCCAATCCCCCGCCCCCACAGCCATCTCTCTGCTCCCAGCTCCACAGCCCTGGACTTCGGCGTCCAGGACGCTGCTGGGCGCCCCTCTTGTGGGCCACGTGTCATCTCAGACTGCGGACGGGGACTCCCTCCCCCCACTTACCCCCTGATGGCCCAGGACCAGCAGGAAGTGCAGCAGCTGCCCCACCAGGGGAGCTCGGGGACACCCAGGGACCCCGTCCCGTCCTGGAGAGTGGTTTCCCCCTCTGCGCCCGTGGTCAGTACCTGACTGCTCCTGTGTTGCAGGCCATCTATGTGCTGGACTTCTTCTGGAATGAAACCTGGTACCTGAAAACCATCGACATCTGCCACGACCACTTTGGGTGGTACCTGGGCTGGGGGGACTGCGTCTGGCTGCCGTACCTGTACACACTGCAGGTGAGGAGATGACCAGGGAGCCCCCGTGACGCTCACCCCCCCCGCCCAGCAGGACCTTCGGTGGCTGGGTCCCTGGGCCCGCCCAGCGCTGCCCTCAGAGCAGACAAGCTAAGCATGTGCCAGGCCTTGTCCTTGCCCACGTGTCTGGATTTTTCAGGTTGGGGGGGGCACCAGAACCTGGAGAAGGGAGGCTGGCGCCCTTTGAGGGAGAGGAGAAGGCTTAGTGTGAGTCACCACAGGCCGCTGTAACAAGTATCTCAGACCAGGCGACTTGAACAACAGGATTCACTGTCTCCAGGAACAGGACTCACCCTCTCCGGTCCTGGAGGGTGGAGTCCCAGACCCAGGTGTGGTTGGGCCTCTCTCCTGGGCGTGCAGACGGCCGTCTCCTCCCTGTGTCCTCACAGGGCCATCCCTCTGAGTGTGTCTGTGTCCTGACAGCAGTCATGTTGGATGAGGCCGACCCTGGTGGCGTCACTGTACCGTAATCGCCTCTTTAAAGGCTCCTCTCTAGATATAGCCACTTGCTGAGTCCTGGGCTCAGGACTGCAACCTGTGAACGTGGGGGACACCACGCAGCCCCGAAGACTCAGAGAACAGGGTGATTCAGAGTAGATTTGGGTCTAAAGAAATGACTTGTGAGATCAGGGAGGAAGAAGCTGGCTACTGATAGTCATATTTATTCAGATCTTAACAGTGAAAGGGTAAGAGTCCTGCTCTCCTGTTTTTTTTCCCATGAAGGCTCTGAGTATCCACACGCATGAGTGGTGGACATGCCGGCGGGTCCTGCCTGCTTGGAGCTCATGGCCTGGCAGGGAAAGGCCCCATGCGGGCAGCCCAGGGTGGGGAGGGGTCGCTGACCGCTGAGAGAGGGCCAAGGAGGCGCCCCCAGCCTGGGCAAGCGTCTTGGGGTGGCCACAGACAGACCAAGAGCAGAATGAAGAGTCTGGGGGTAAGAACACTGCCAGACCAGAGGCTGGGGGATCAGAGCCCACTGCCAGGCGGGAGGCCCGCAAGAGGGGAGCGTTCCAGGGGAGAGGAGGGTGGAGGCTGGCCGGGGCTGCAGGCTCTGGGAGAGGCTCCCTCACATGCGTCACAGGAGTCGAGTGTAGAAGCCTTCCTGGGGAGCCGGAGGGGCCTGGCTTTGCACCTCTGCTGGGCCACCAGCCAGGGGATGGGGCCTCGCGCGTCTCTAGAAAATCAGGGCGGACTCACCTCGGTTAGGGCTAGGCTGATGACTCAAGGTAGGCTGGGCAGCTCTGCCCTGGTGCCTGCTATGTGCTCCATGCCACGGGAGCCACCTCGGGGACGGGCGCTGGTTCTGAGGCTGTTGCGTACCTGCTAAGTCACTTCAGTCATGTCTCTCTGTGACCCCGTGGACTGTAGCCTGCCAGGCTTCTCTGTCCGTGAGATTCTCCAGGCAAGGAGACTGGAGTGGGTTGCCGTTTCCTTTCCCAGGGGATCTTCCCGACCCAGGGCTCAAACCCACATCTTTTATGTTTCCTGCATTGGTAGGCGAGTTCATTACTGCTGAGTCACCCAGGAAGCCCTCTGAGGCTGTTGGGGGATGTCCAGCCCTCCACACCGCTCCCAACTCGCAGAGAACAGCCCTACCTTCTTCTGCGTGGTGTGCGGGCCCCCGTGTAGGGTGGCTGCGTGCCGAGCCCGGCCACATGCCGCCTGCTCGTGGCGTGAGCCCAAGTGAGGAGGTGCGGGGTGGAAGAGAACAGGCTTCTGGCCACATGCGTGGTTCGCAGCAGCTCAGGTGGGCTGCTTTAACAGACTGCAAGAGTGGAGGGAACCCATGCGGACAGACCTTGTAGGCTGGCCAGGACGTGCATGGGCAACGTGGTGAGCAGTCAGCCAGCCCTGCGGGCAGTGACGGCAGGGCTGCTGTTACCTGGCTGACCACCCTGCAGCATCCCACAGCAAGAGCGGAAAGCAGAGCCGGCACGGTGGAGGGGAAAGAGCCTTGGGCTGGAGGCTGGAAGTTCTGGCCTCCGGTCCCCACTCTGGGTCTTCTGCACAGACCCTCTGGACCCATTTCTCCACTTGGTGGTTGCAGGCTCTCTGGTTCCCTGAAACTGTGAGCACCATTTTCCAGGCATGCAAACTGATAGCAGGAGATCATACACACACACACACACACACGTATGTGTCTGTTTATCTGATTGTGTGATTGTGGTCCTGTCAAGTCCAAACTCTTCAGGGCAGCTGGCAGCAGGCTGGAGATCCTGGGATGAGTTGGTATTGCAGCTGGGTCTGACAGCTGTCCGCTGGTAGAATTCACACTTGTTCCTGAGTCTTTTGTTCTTAGTGTCTTCAACTGATTAGATGAGGCCCACCTGCCTTGTGGAGGGTGATCGGCTTCATGCATTCTAATTGGAAACGTTAATTGCATCTTAAAAATACCTTTGTAACAACTAGACTACTGTTGGACCAAGTATCTGGGTCCCGTGGCCTAGCTAAGGGGACACAAAAAATTAACTATCCTATTCAAATGGTATTTTTAATATTATGCTGTGTGTGTTAATTGCTCAGTCGTGTCCAACTCTTTGCCGACCCCATAGACTGTAGCCCACCAGGCTCCCCTGTCCTAGGGATTCTCCAGGCAAGAATAATGGAGTGGGTTGCCATTTCCTTCTCCAGAGGATCTTCCTGACCCAGGGTTGGAACATGGGTCACTTTCACTGCAGGCAGATTCTTTACCAGCTGAGCCATAATTGGAAGTCCCATTATGCTGTATATTTTACATTTATACTATATGTGATGTGTGTGTGTATAGATAGAGAGGCAGATAACTAACTAGGTGTGTGCATGCTAAGTCGCTTCAGTCACATCTGACTCTTTGCGATGCTATGGACTGTACTCCGCCAGCCTCCTCTGTGCATGGGATTCTCCAGGCAAGAATACAGGAGTGGGTTGCCATGCCCTCCTCCAGGGGATCCTCCCAACCCAGGGGTGGAACCTGCGTCATTTGCACATTTGCTTGTTTGATCCCCTCTGAGGCGGGTGCTTCTGTTCACGGGAGAGGAAACCGAGGTAGGGCCAGGTGGGCAGCTGGTCAGGGGTACAGCTGGGGTGTGAGCCGGGCCGTGCCCCTGAGCCCGTGGCCTGCCCGCCCCCCGGACAGGCCAGCCCTGACCTCTCGCCTCACCCCGCAGGGCCTGTACCTGGTGTACCACCCCGTGCAGCTGCCCACCCCCTACGCGCTGGGCGTCCTGCTGCTGGGCCTGCTAGGCTACTACATCTTCCGGATGACCAACCACCAGAAGGACCTCTTCCGCCGCACGGATGGGCGCTGCCTGATCTGGGGCAGGAAGCCCAAGGCCATCGAGTGCTCCTACACATCGGCCGACGGGCAGAAACACCACAGCAAGCTGCTCGTGTCGGGCTTCTGGGGCATGGCCCGCCACTTCAACTACACGGGCGACCTGATGGGCAGCCTGGCCTACTGCCTGGCCTGCGGCGGCGGCCACCTCCTGCCCTACTTCTACATCGTCTTCATGACCATCCTGCTCACCCATCGCTGCCTGCGGGATGAGCACCGCTGTGCCAACAAGTACGGCCGCGACTGGGAGCGCTACACGGCTGCCGTGCCCTACCGCCTGCTCCCCGGCATCTTCTAGAGGGGGCCCGTGCCAGGAGGAGCCCCCACGGGGCGGTGAAGAGCGCGGTCCCAGCCCCGCCCTCCAGGAGCCTCTGCATCCTCACGTTCACTGGAGCTCTTGCCCCGAGCACAGTGGCCAGGGTTCACACCAGCTGCCTTCTCACCGTGTGCGGCGCTACCAGGGCGAGAGGATGGCTTGTCTCCTCTCTGTCTGCTGTCCAGACAGTGGGTGTCTGACATCAAAGGGGACCTCCTCCAGCCCCTGTGGTCACTCCTGCCCTTAGCTCTTGCTTAGACACAGTAGCACTGGGCCCGCCAGCTCTGCGGGTTGTCGCCCTCCCAGCGTTCAGCTCCAGGTGTTGCCTGCGTCACCCGCGCGGCGCTGGTGAGCTGCGCCCGTCAGACTTCTCCTCTGTGCCCGCACCGTGTTACATTTGTCTGTGGAGGGCTCTGAGGGGCGCTGCACGAGGAAGGGCCGCTTCTGGTTCTGGTTCTTTACGAACTCTGCTCAGGTGACCCAGAGACCTTGGCCACCATCAAGGGGGTCTTCACCCAAGCCTTCTCCAAGGAGACCTGAGCCCCAGCCTCAGGAGGCGACCCCTTTCTTACCATGGCTGGCTCCTCAACCCACGGGTATTCTTGACTTTTAGATGTGACTGGCCTGATAGAGTTAATCTTTTATTCAGGTACTTGGGAGACATCGCGAGTTCAGCTCCTGACCACCCCGATAAAGCAAACACAGTAAGTCCCTGACATACGAACAAGTTCTCTTCTGAGAAAGCATTTGTAAAGTCCGATTTGTTCATTAAGTCCAACAGAGTTCGTGTAGGTACCCAGCTAGCACAGTTGGCTGTTTAATACTGTACTGTAGTAGTTTTATAGTACTTTTCCTACAAATAAAACATTTTTAATCTCACAGGATGTAAGTTGAAAAGTACAGTCGTACACTACAGCGGCTGGCATCAAGTGAGCGGGCAAGAAGGCTTGCTGACTGGAGCGGGGAGAAGAGGCGGGAGATGGTAGAGCTGAACGATGGTCAGCGGCAGGAGACAGGGCCAGCTGCAGTGCCACGCCTAATGTGGACAGAACACATGTTTGCATCTTTGAAAGTTCACATCTTAAAGGTTCCTATATAGAGGACTTCCTGTGTCCCAACAAAGCGAGTCACATGAGTTTTTTGGCTTTGCGGTGCATATAGAATTTATGTTTACACGATTCTGTACTCTTTTAAGTGTGAAATAGCACTGTCCTAAAGGACAGTGTGCATACCTTTGGTTAAAAAATGCTTTATTGCTAAAAAACGCCGAAATGATGACCGTAGTAATATCAAAGGTCACTGATCACAGATCAGTTCACAAATGTAACGAAAGTTTTGAAGTACGGCCATAAATGCCGAGATGTGACAGAGGGACACAGAGCGGGCAAAAGCTGTCGGAAGAATGTCACCAGTGTGGTTGCTGGACGCAGGGTTGCCAGAAATCTTCAATTTGTATAAAAGCACCATATCTGCAAAGCACAATAAATGAGATGTGACCGATTTAAACCTCCCCAGTTCAGACTTCTATGTGGTTTGTCTCCCACTGGTACCCGGCCGTAGACGAGGGCTCAGGTTTTGGTGTGTAGAAGGGATGCTCAGGGAATGTTGGATCAGAATGTTGGATCAACGGTCTGCCTCATAGCTCTGGGTACCCATCGTGGGATTCAGGGGAGGGACCCCCTGCTTCCCCCACCGTCAGCCCTCAGCTGGGGCTGCTCTTGTGCTGGGTGTGAGAATCCATTCCATTTGCCAAAGGGAGAAGCTCCATTTGGACCGCCTGCCCCCAGCAAGAGACTGGAGAAACCAGAAAGCTGGTGCTAGGCTTGCTTCACGCCTGAAGGAACCGAGGACCAGGGTGAGCTGGGAGCCCCACGTCCTGTGCAGGGAGGGCAGGTGCAGGACAACGTCTCCCCTGCTCAAGTTAGAATCGGTTAAGCAAAGCCAGGCAGGATAGCCAGGAAGGATCAGGGCCTTTTTCCCACCTGGCCTGACTTAACTGTGTGGTTCAGTTGCTAAGCTGTGTCCGACTCTGTGACCCCATGGACTGCAGCATGCCAGGCTTCCCTGTCCTTCACCATCTCCTGGAGTTTGCTCAGACTCATGTTGGTTGAGTCAGTAGTGCCATCCAGCCATCTCATCCGCTGCTGTCCCCTTTTCCTGCCCTCAGTCTTTCTCAACATCAGGGTCTTTTCCAGTGAGTCAGCTCTTCACATCTGCTGGCCAAAGGATTGCAGCTTTAGCTTCAGCATCAGTCCTTCCAATGAATATTTAGGGCTGATTTCTTTTAGAATTGACCGGTTTGATCTCTTTGTTGTCCACAGAGAAGACACTTGAGTCTTCTCCAGCACTGCAGTTCAAAAGCATCAATTCATCAGTGCTCAGCCATCACTATGTGAGCCGTCCAACTCTCATATCCCTACACAATTACTGGAAGAACCATAGCTTTGACTATACGGACCTTTTTTGGCAAAGTGATGTCTCTGCTTTTTAATCACTGTCTAGGTTTGTCATAGCTTTTCTTCCAAGGACCGAGCGTCTTAACTTTCATGGCTTCTGTCACCATCTGCAGTGATTTTGGAGCCCAAGAAAATAAAATCTGCCACTGTTTCTATTGTTTCCCCATCTATTTGCCATGAAGTGATGGAAGCAGATGCCATGGTCTGGGTTTTTGAGTGTTGAGTTTTAAGCCAGCTTTCCCACTCTCCTCTTTCACCCTCATCAAGCGGCTGGGCCGGCTTAGCGCCATGGCTTCCTGTGCTGGCGCCCCACGCCTGCCCACTGCAGCTCAGGGCTCAGAGGGGGTCCTGGGCATCCATGTCTGTCACCAGCCACACGAGGCACTTGAGAAGCAGCCAGAGCACTGGGCCCCCACTGGGATGGCTCTGAGAACAGTGGACCCCCCGTTTCCTCCCATACCTCAGGTGAATTCACTTTAAGAAGGCCGGAGGGTGGTGTCTGTGAGCCAGATCTTGTCTTCCCCGTTCAACAACTGTGTGACCACCAGCAGGTGACTTCCCTCTGTGTGTCCTTGTTTGAAGAATAAGGGTGATGATTCTTTTGCCTTGTGTGAGAAGCCTTCTGAGATGGATTTCCCAGGAGAGCTGTAGGTTCAAACCTTAGATCGGCCTATCTATCACTTGGCCAGGTCTCATGTGTTTGTGTCAGCGTCTTGGAGCTGGGCTGCAGTTTGATCTGTTTTGTCCAGCACGCTCAGCCAGCACAGTGAAGCCGGGCACCTCATGCAACAGGGCAGGTCTGTCTGCCTTAGCCCACCTCTTCTGGGGCCTGGAGTGTCACCCTGTGCATGGAGAGACTGGTGTGGGCAGTGGGGAAAGGGTGGTTCCCACACCAGAGACTTGCTGCCCACAGTGATGGGCTTGGCTTCACTACTGTTTCTGGGGAGTTATTCCAGGAGGGTATTCCCCTAGATCTTGGAACTCCCTTCTCTGGATGTGGGTGTTGTTTCATTGGTGAGAAGCCAGGCCAGGCAGTGACACAGCCAGCTTCTCTGGGTGAGAGGCTGAGTTGAGTAAAATATATAAAATTAAGACATAAGATCACACCACACGCTTCTTTTCTAGAAAGGGCAAGTCATTCTCACCCCATGGGCGTGAGACCACAGTGACTGGGAGGCTAAGAGGGGACGACATTCATTTCCAGAGATTCAGTGCCCTGCGTCGGCTCGTCATCGACGACCCGTGGGCAGACCTGTGCCCTGCGTCGGCTCGTCATCAATGACCCGCGGGCAGACCTGTGCCCTGCGTCAGCTCGTCATCAATGACCCGTGGGCAGACCTGGCCATGCCACCCAGTTCCTTGTCCCAGAAAACAGGCAGTGGTTGGAGGTTAGTGCAGGACCAGTGTGGTCACCTGGACAAACGGGGGCTCAAGGAATCTCTCGGTAACCTTGACTGTCGTTAAGTGCGAAGTCGCTTCAGTCGTATCTGACCCCGTGCGACCCCGTGGACCAGCCCACCAGGCTTCTCTGCCCATGGAATTCTTCAGGTGGGAGTACTAGAGTGGGTTTCCATGCCATTCTCCAGGGGATCTTCCCACCCCGGGGATTGACCCAGGTCTCTTGCGTTGCGGGCAGATTCTTCACCATCTGACAGAGCCCAGGGAAGCCCATGGACATGACATAAATCACCGGCTTCTCTTGCTTACCTGTGTTCCACACGAATACCAGCCCAGTGAGGGTAAATTTCTGACTATTTCATGCCCTGATTGTATCCCTAGTCCCAGAACACTCATCTGCCACAAGTCGGAAGCTGACCTTTACAGTTCCTACCGTGCTCCAGCCACCATCATGGAAACCTTACACATACCCTCCGACCCTGACAATAACCCTGGTGCTAAATACTATTGTCACTCCCATTTTACAGTTAGTGAAACTGAGGCACAGATGGTCAGTGAGACCCGTCCAGGTTGCAGGCTGATGCATGGCAGAGCTGGGGCTCAAACTCCATCTGGTGTAGAGTCTGTGCCCTTGACCACCTCCCTCTGGAGCTCCGGGTGTTAAATAACCAGACAGGCTGTGCCACGAAGCAGGGAAGGTCCAGAGGCAAAGCTTTCCACCAGCACTTTCCAGACAACGGATTGCAACCCGCTCTTGGGTAATAAAATCGTTACTAGGAACGGGCAAGGTTATGTGCTATCCATACCTGTGTTGTAAGTGACTCCTACACTGAATGGCTTAAACCAGCAGTACACTTGATCTCACCCAGTTTCTGAGGTTCTTGACTCCAGAAGGACCTTAGCCAGGTGGTTCTGGTTCAAGGTCTTTCACAGGGTTGGTTGCGGGCAAGGTGTTGGCCTGGACGGCATCACCTGAAAGGTCAACTGAGGCCAAAGGACTTGCTTGCAAGGCAGCTCCAAGTGTGTTCGACAATTGGTGCTGGCTTCGGGCTTCCCTGGTAGTGAAAGGTTGTTGCTGAACCACGAGAAGACGCCGGGATTCTTGGCCTCCGGAGAAGAATTCAATCCGGGGCCAGAGACGAGACTTGATTGCTCAGGGCTTTTGTGTAATAAAGTTTTATTAAAGTATAAAGGAGATAGAGAAAGCTTCTGACAGAGACATCAGAAGGGGGCGGAAAGAGTACCCCCTTGCTAGTGTTAGCAATGGAGTTATATACTCTCTAATTAGTTATTACAGTGAATCAAAAGAATGTCTGGAGGTTGTAAAGACCTCAGCAGACCTACTCCCATAATTTACATTTTAAGATAATAGGATTAGGCAGAAGGCTTAATCCAGAGACTGTCCTCAGGCAGGATACATTATTGTTATATAATCCTAAGCAATGTAGAGGGGGAAAAGTTTGTCCTTTCCTCTCCTTGAGAATTCCAGACCCCTCTGTCCTTGGGGACCCCTAGACTTCTTATCAACCTGCCTAGGAAATGACTCTCTCAGTAGCTCAGCTGGTAAAGAATCTGCCCACAGTGCAGGAGACCCCAGTTCAATACCTGGGTTGGGAAGATCACCTGGAGAAGGGTGTGGCAACCCACTCAAGTATTCTTGCCTGAAGAATCCCCATGGACAGAGGGGTCACAAAGAGTCAGACGTGACTGACTAATGTACATGTACGTGTTCGCTGGGGGCCTCAGCTTGTCCCCACGTGGGTTTCTCCATCGGCTGCTCAAGGGTCCTCCCAGCACAGCAACCCCCATGGTGGGTGATCCCCTTCACGCAACGTCCTTCACGCCAACCTGGGAAGTCCTGAACCCCACCTCTGATATTCCCCTGGGACACAAGTCAGTGCCTCTCAATGTGGGAGGGGGCTACACAGGGGTTACCAGCAGCCGGAGGTGTCATCCTGGAGGCAGGCTGCCGTAGGTTACTTGACAATAAAGAAACGTGCAGAGGTCCTTGGAGGTCTGATGGCGGCAGAGTTCCACTGAGAGGTGAGAGCGGGTCACCCTCCACCGACTGCACCTCCTGCTGGGGTCCAGGGCTCCCTGTGGCCTGTAGCTGCTGCCTGGCTCTGCCTTCTGGCCTGGCACCTGGATGGTTCTCAACACCTGCCACTCAACAAAGAGCACCTGAGCAACCACGGGACATGTGTCAGAGAACTCAGTCAGGTGACGAGGCATCTTATGATCAAGGGGGGAAGGAGGGGCTTTTCAATAAACTTGTTTTATTTTTAAAAAGTTATTTGCTTATTTTTGATTGTGCTGCGTCTTCGTTGTTGTGCACGGGCTTTCTCTAATTGCAGTGATGGGAGGCTACTCCTCGTTGTGGTGGGTGGGCCGCTCACTGCGGGGTCTCTCTTGTTGCTGAGCATGGGCTCTCGGGCCTGTGGGCTTCGGTGGGTTTCAGCATGCGGGCTCAGTAGCTGTGGCTCCCAGACTCTAGAGGGTGGTCTCAGTAATTGTGGTTCACAGGCTTAACTGCTCCATGGCATGTGGGATCTTTCTGGACCAGGGGTTGAGCCCGTGTCCCCTGCACTGGCAGACAGATTCCTCTCCACTGAGCCACCAGTGAAGTCCCTAAAAGTTGTTTTAATTAAAAAATAATAAAT